GTAAACATAATAACCTATGGCGCACTAGTGTGCATCATGTGAAATCCCAACATACCTATATCTCAGAAATCCGAGCTATGTGAAATCTGCCTTGCTTAGTCACAGTTTGTGACAGGATGGATGTTCTAGAGCTGTTTTCACAGTGATATACAAGGTCCAGGTATATTCTGGGAAAAGGACTGGGGACCAATAAATTCTCAAAGCTACTATGCACATACGGTGCCCATGATTCACAGATATATGGAATTATGTTGTCGAGATGGAATTTATTTAACACTCATGCAGGATGGGGCGCCCAGACATGCAGCTGGGGATACTAGAACTGAGCTTAGGAAGAGAGGAATAGAGGTTATTCAGTGGCCTGCCTTTTCACCAGACTTGAATCCGATTGAAAAAGTATGGCATATCATGAAGAACTATCTTCAGGATAATTATCCTGAAAATATGACTTATAATAGGTTAAGAGCAGAGGTAAAGACAGCTTGGGAAAACGTTGGAGAGCATGAGTTCCGGGAGCTTATTGAAAGCATGCAAGCAAGGTGTCAGGCTGTCATTGATGCAAATGGCTTGTTCACGAAGTATTAAATATGGTACACCCCCACCGTTCCAATGTATACTTACCAACTGACCTCTACAGACCTCTGTAATTCCCCGGCAGACCCACGAGCAGACCCCCCTGGCAGACCCCCCAAGCAGACCCTCTCCAGCAGACCTCCTCCAGTAGACCCAGGAGCAGACCCTCCCGGCAGACCCCCTCCAGCAGACTCCCGAGCAGACCCCCTCAGGCAGATCCCTCAAGCAGATCCCCTCTAGCAGACCCCTGAGCAGACCCCCCTGGCAGACCCTCGAGCAGACTCCCTGCAGACCAACAATATTTCTGGTAGTTCCCAGCCATCTTCAGTTGACCTCTGTGGTTCTACAGCACTCCTAGTGGAGTCACACCTCGCTATCCTGGATGGCCAAAATCCAAAAAAAACTATCCAGAACAGGAAGAGATTCGGGGCGATAGGAGATCCAGGATGGTGAGGGATCAGGGACAGTGAGTGAGATTTTGGTAGAAAGAGAGTCAGAGTTTACCGAGATTCATACAGGACAGCGAGGTATCCAGATTATTGAGATTGGGGATAGTGGGATATGACGGTAGTTTTCTACTATTTTTTTAATTATAGTTTGGCTTTCAGAAGATGAATTTGGTAGGAAATTGTGGAGACCCTGAACATACCTGAAGGAAAGTGAAAGTGAAGTAGAAAGGCAGGAGTGACAGGAAAAGTTGAAAAACTTTGTGAGAAGCTGCGATGTTTGTCTTTTTCTATATTAGCATGGAAGCCAAAGCAAGCAGAATGGGAGATATACAAACATGTACTTGCGTACCGCAGAAGTTTCCGGAAATGTGAAAAAGAGCTTGGCATCTTGGCATCTTGGCACTAAGATTCTAACAGGTTAATGCGTGTTTTCGCCTGTGCTTTTAGTGGTTTCTTATCACGGTGATACCATAACACCAGTAATACAACCATGTCACGGAATCTTGTGAAAAGAGGTGAGTACAAAGAAACCTGTAGGAAATAAGATGCTAATGCACCTTAGGAAAGGAGATATCACCCCAGAGATGCATGGTTATTATTGCCTACCGAAGTCTTTCAAAGCCGATAACCTATAAGCAAATAAGGGAAGAAACGGGAGTTTCAATTTCCACTGCAAATGACATCTGGCACCATGCAGTTGATAATGCATAAGAAGCCCGTCAGGCTACCCTGACAGGAAGTGCTTCCTCCAGCCTTGTATCTACTACATACAGGCATGATACCCCACCGCCAAATCCACCAGTTCCACCAACCCTCGAAAGTACCCCCCCGCCATACCAATATCCAATCCCCTCTGCCTGATTACATCTCGGTCAACTTCTGTTATTGCAGTCCCTACTGATAGAACTCAAGAGAGTGAAGCGCCTTTTACTGTACTTGAGTTAGTTGCAGGAACTTGCTTGGACCCAAAGACTCAGAGTGGTAGACCACTAATCCTCATAGCTGAGGATAAGGATAGACTTGTTAGGACTGTAAAAAAAGGCTTTAAGACTCAGCGTATGAAGTTAATTGACATATGTCGAGAAGCTGGACTAGGGCATGTAAGTGATACAATAGCTTTCAGAGCTTTAATTGAGCGAGATATTCATGCATACAGAGAGGAATTTATACCTATTCTGAATATAGATAATAAAGCAATATGCTTGGTATGTTTAATAAATCTATGATATTATTTGACACAAATGTTCATTCCCCTAACTATAATTTAATTATCTATACAGCTATACTGTATCGAAAGGACAGGCTGGAGACCAGCAGAGGAGTGATCAAGTCTCATTTTTACTGATAAGATGTCAATTGAGGTTGGCTCTGTCTTCGGGATTAGTATTGTATGGAGAGAAAAAAGTAAGAAGTGGCACCCAGACTGTATTAGTGCTAAAAAAAAAAAGTACCTTGGTGATGTGCTGGGGGGTCAATTGGATAGGGCTAGAAAGGTCCTTTTATAATCTGGCTAGCCGAAACAAAACAAGAAAAAGAGGAGGCTAAACAGAAGGTTCTTGAGTATAATGGGAGGTGCAAGGACGAAGAAGACCGATTGAACTTGGCTTGGAGGAACAGTAGTCAGTGGAGAGAACTACGGGAGCGGGAGCTTAAGGCAGCACAGGAAGCTCGAAAAATAGCTAAATAGGGTGGAAAAAAAGTGAAAACAATGCAGACATGGCGGTCAAAAAAATTGAAAATTGAAAAATTAAAGAAAAGCGAAGGAGGAGGTATAGATTCCTGGAGGTATGTGGCCTATATTTGTAGGCCTATCTTGTGGCTGGCATACTTGGAAAAATTATCAAGAAATCCAACTTCCAGCTTGTTATTGATGGAGGATAATGCACCATCACATAATTCACACTTTACCAACTCCATGCGGGCAAAACAGGGGGTAAAGAAGATTGAATAGCCTCCTAACTCACCGAACTTTAATCCTATAGAGTATATCTGGAGGATTATGAAGGCTAGGATTCTACAGCGACGTGGGGAGGACCAAGTAATGAATTCAGCAGAAATGAGAACCATTCTAAAGGAGGAGTGGGATAGAATCACTATTGAAGATATCAATCATGAGATTGTTAAATTACCATCTATTGTATCTCAATGTATCTTGCAAGGTGGGGGCAATAAGTTTCAAGCGTAATGTTCTTTCAATTTTGTTTTCTCTTTCTTTCCTCTTGTTTTCGCATTCCTTACTTTACTCTAGCTGTTTTTGCTATCTTTTGCTTTTTTTGGTTGTGCTACAATGCCAAGGTCTTTTCCACATTTCCGGAAACTTCTGCAGTGTGCAAGTACATGTGTAGAAATCCATGAAAGGGTCTAAAGACTTGGCCCACTAAAAATCCCATCATATTGAGTAGTCCTATGCAACCTTTCCCTATTCAGTACCCTGACCCCTGCTAGTAGGATACCCCCTGCTAGCAAAATATTCAAAACTTAGGCGCTGTACCTTCGTAGTTAACCGTACGGGTGTTCCCCGACGTACGGTACCCCCCGAGCACCAGCATTTACTGTAGCACAAACACGTGCAAAAACAGCCAAATCCGTCTCTACTCGTACAATGAAATGAAACGCAATACAATACAACCCCCCCCTTACATCTTCCTCCCTCCCTTTCCCCCTTTTTCCTTCCTTCCTTCCTTTGCTCCCATCCACGATAGCGTAGGGCTGCTCAGCGACACTTGGCAAGACTTTCACAATAGCAACGGCAGCCAGCCAGTGTTCAATGACATTAGCAAGCCAAGCCAAGCCGTGCCATGCCATGCCTCGCTGAGCCCCTCACACTGTCTATTTCGAGGACGGGAATACGGCAACCATGGTACTTGTACTTGTGCTACTGTATTCTCGAAGGATGGTTACAATGCTATGCGTGATTGGAAACGGCCGGTGAGATTGAGGGTATCACGCTCGTTTTGGGAAATTTCCCTCCGCCAAAGCTATTGCATGGGTGTCAGACCCTTCCTACAGTACGGTACTCGAGTATGGTACCGGTGCTCCGGCTGTTCTCGCGCCTCGCCCACTTATTGTACTCGTATGGTACGAGTCTTTCTTCTCACTTTACCGGTCGTCGAGTGAAGCTGAGTGAGGGTGGTACAGTACTCGTACAATACTGTGCTAAGCTAAGCTTCTGTGGGGCTAACCAACAGAATCTTTCTGTACTGTACTAGTACCGTACTGTACTCATGTGCCGTGGTGTTTTACATTTGTGTGGTTGGATACACATGATGATACAGGTACTGTACTGTACTCGTACAGCTACAAGTGCAGTAAGTTACCGTGTTATTCCGCCTAGGCATATTGCACCTACCCACTAAGGGAGTTTAAAAAGTTCTCTGTGCGCTGAGTACGGTACTGTGGTACTGTTCTAGTACTGTGCGCAATCTTCCCCACAAATATCGGTGCACTGCTTTTGAAAATCACCTGTAGAAACTAAATCATGAGTGGTACGATTTTGATATCCTATACTGTTTTTTTCGTGCCCGATACCGAACGGATGTCATTTCATAAGAACCGCCTGCCGATTTCCTTTTTCTGCCCGGTGCGATATACAGACCAAGTACTGTACTCGAGCAATGTGAGGGTTGGTTGGTTCAGATACGGTAGGGATGACGAATACAATAGCTGCATTATACCTCTCCACCTCTGTACGAGTACTCAGTATGCAGCATCCCTCCTTGCGGGGAGGGGAGGTTTGCCGTGCACTGTACTGTACAACCCTACAAGCATTTTCCAGGAGGTATCATACTTGCACGATACACACCTCTACCGAGACACCCGCACCTTCCGTGTATCATACCGTAGTACCGGTACCATACTCGAGTACAGTACGAAACGAGTGCAATACAGGCAACATATCGTACATGTATGATAGAAATCTAGCGACGGGGGGGACTTTTCGATCCGTCCATTTTTTTTATCAGGTCCTCTATTTTTTTGGTATTTACGGTAAACACCGTCATAGTCTACCTCCCTCCCTTCCGTGAAAACAAACATCAAGACAATAACCGCTAACAGGACGGTAGTGGAGACCCGGATTAGACGAATGGAATGAAACCTTCCGTCGTTAACCGACTGTTCGAGAGAATGCCCGGTAAATTAGTGCTGGGTCTTGTTTCGGACTTCGATGGCTGCGGTGCAACGCATGTAAAGAGGGAGAGAGAAATAAAGTGGCAAGGACATCAGTGTCCTACCACAGCAAAAACAAAGGAAGAGTTTTCATTTCCATGCTCCCTTTTTTTCTTTTCTTCTTTCCTTAGGTTTTCAAGAAAGGGCTTTACTAGCGAGGTGAGCTAGTCGGTGACTTGTAAAGGGGGGGGGATATGGATTCTCCCCCTATTGATGAGGGAGGGGCAGATGAGTGTTACGGTGCAGAGGTAGGGGACTTTACGGTACTACGGATTCCTCCATCGTGAAACACCCCAGCTGTGCCTCAACACCCAGGGGGTATGAAGGAGCACGGACCAAACGACAGAAAACGAGGGGCATTCTAGCTGGAGAAGAGCCAATGGATCAATTCTCGTACGATACTTTACATTAAAAATCACTTCAAGAAATACCGGTACCCTCTTTAAACTCATTCCCTCTCCAACCATTAACATCCAATTATCCCATCCCCGCCCGACCCATTCATCCGTTCATACAAATTAAAGCCTTACAAAGCGAACAAGCAGGCGAAAATAGCGGCAGCAGCGAAGCCACCAGGAACAAGAACATTCCCTGCACCCGAGCCGGCCGATCCAGATCCAGATCCCCCCGTGGAGCTAGCGGAGCCCGAGCCTCTACCGGAAGTGGATCCTGAAGTCTTGGTAGCATTTCCAGAGGAGGTACCGGTAGTAGCATTTCCGGTTGGGCCAGCTTGGACAGAGGAAATGGCACCGCTGGGGAGGTCGCTGCCGCAGAGTGTCTGGGCGACAGCTACTGACTCTGTGTTCCATCGTGTTAGTAACTTCCTTCACTGGAAAAGGGAATGACCTGAGCGGGGAGCTTACTGGTGATATCGTCAGGGTTGGTGCAGGCAGTCGGGAGACAATTGGTGAGCTCGGTGATGAAGTCTCTATTCTTGCACATGCAAGGTATGTCGGTGTTTGAGCAGTCATTTACTTTGGCCATAGCAGTCGTTACGCAACTCATCTGGCATCAAAGTTTGTCAATAACAATCCGTTCTCCGCGAACGTAGGAAGGAGGAGCATACAGCACAAGTGGGCAATTGCGTCAAATCAGCCTGGGCAACGACCATGACGGCAGCACCGAGGATGGAGGCGATGAGTGAGGTCTTCATTTTTATTCGCGGGATAGGAAATCGAATTACACAACGATGGCTGATAGCGAATGAGTGGGTGAGTGAGTGTGATGATGGAAGTGAAAACAAAGGGTATTAAAACGGGTAGGATGGGTAGGTGAGGAAAATCTGGGGGTGGGAGGATACATGGAGGTATTTATCTATTCTCCTCCTCCCTACACCTTGTACGGTATCCCTTTCCATTTTTGCCCCTTCCTGCTCTCCTCCCGGTCGGGCACAGGCATGGGATGGGTGGGTTAGAGACGCGGCTGAGGGCGGATGGCTATACAAGTAAAGGAGTTAAATTGGGGCATTCCCTGCTTACCTGTACTGTACTCGAGTACGGTACTCGTACTCGCGCTGTATTCCTGAGGGGAGAAGGGGGGATGGTCTGCCTGTGTGAAGGCTTGGAAGGCTTGGTAGGGATCACCTGTTTGTGTTATGTTATCGTTAAGTTACTGGAGTTCACCGGGTTGGGTTTTCTTTTCTTTTCTTTTTCTATTTACCTGCTTCTATCATACGGCACCGGTACCATCCTAGCGCCCCCTGAGAAGGGAGGGAATGGATGAACCAGCAAATGAGGCGTGCGTGTGTGTGTGTGCGAGCAGATGCACACTGGGTCGGTTTGATTGAAGGCAAATTATGGTTGGGTTCCCGGAAGGCCTTGTGTGGCAGCGGTGCTTCCAAGCGGGAGATTGGGATGTTTTGCCCCGCTGTACTGTACGAGTACTGTACCGTACCAGTACGAGCACAAGTATCCATCATACTACAGTAAGCGCTGCTTGCACGGTACCACAGCTCTCCACGGTATTGCTTGTCTGAGAACTCTACACCATCGCCAATAATGCCCGGAGCTGTGAGTGAGGAGGTTTGCTGTTTACCGCTTGTGGTACGGGTACTTAGGGTGTGAGCATACGGTAGGTCTGTCGAACATTGGCCGATTCGTTGAAATTATTATGAGTGTAACTGTGTTTTTCTCCATTCTGGAGCTGTTTGGCCAATCTATCTATGTTAATTTTTGGTGAAGGAAAAAGTCTGTCCAACTCTTGGTAGAATTGGATGCCGAATAGATTCTGATCGATCGAACTCTTGCCCAGCAGCTACTTGTAGAGAGAATCTTGTCTTCCGAGTGGCCGAGTGCCCACTGGGCCAACCGGGGAGTTTGGCGGACCTGCCCTTGATACCCGGGTACTGTGCGGGCACTCGAGTACCGTATTGTACGGGTGCTCTGGTGTGCTGGTATCATACTCGTAATGGCTGCTGTATCCCATCTCCTTCTCTAACCCCAAGCTCAAACAATGGTCCCCCCCCCACAACCGGCTACGGTGGACGACGTTGGCTGATCATTACTGTACGGAGGTACAGCCCATAAGTTTTGTAGGTTCCACAAGCGAGGCTCGCTGCCGTCAGCCCCTGTGGAACGTACAAAACTTATGGGCTGTACCTTCGTAGAGGCATTCAGCACGAGATCGAAAAAGCCTTTTTCGGTGCCAAGAGTCGCGCATCTGCCAGATTTGCACGCAAAAATGAGCTTAAACCCGAAATACCCTGCTTGCATAAACGTTTATTTCTCGACCCAGGGGCTGAATGCCTCAGTTGCAACTCCCCTGACCCCTTCTCTCCCGTTCCTGTCCTTCCAACCCATGCATCCCTTCCTTGGAACGGGGCTATGAAGAATTATCCTACCGGTATGATATGCATACGGTAAACCAACCCGAACCTCCCCGTTTATTTATATCGCCGTCAAGGGCTTCGAGAATCCCCAGCCTTGCGGGTACAAATGTCGCCGTTGCGGTGGCTAGCATGTGTGCCAGTATTCGGTGAGTGGATGAATCAACAAACAAAGGATTAATTAATTAACCGATCATCACGGCCACTGCTAGTACCGATACTGAGTGTGACAATGCACAATCCCGATCCGTGGTAGTGATCGTAGATGCTGCACCGCCCCCGCCGGTCAGCCGCCTGGCTGGCTTATTATAGTTTTCTCAGGAGAGCTCATGCGTTTATCAGTTCGACTTGCTCAATCTTCCCCTTCTTTTTCTTTTCTGCTCACGACGCCACGGGGGGGTTCGAATTGTTCACAATGTTCACAACTAAAACAAGGAAAGTGGGCTGTGGGAAATTGCGTTTGAGGAAGGAAAAAAAAGTCCCCCGAGGGGTTCCAGCATGGAGGACCATCCCGAAATTGATAGTTGCTACTTGTAGCACAAGCACGAGCTGCCAACATAAACAGTCCATTCAAAGGTGAAATTTAAGAATTAAAAAAACAGCAAAGCGCGGAATATGATGTGGCACCATGGTGATGCTCGGGAATTTGACCGGTAATATGATAACCTGCCCGCCCGCCCGGGCCCCCCAAGACCAAGGCCACGCGTATGTGTGGTGCGGGGTTTGGGAAGTCTTCCAGAACCAGTGCGTGATAGTCGGTCGGGGAGGTGGTCTGCGCGGGGCGGGGAAGGAGGAGGCTGGAGCGAGTTCGGTTACTCCCTGTATGAAGGCGAGAAGTTGATGCACTGCACGGTGGCCAAATCATAAATAAAGAATACAGGAGAGATGGGAGGGTACGGATGTGTGGGGGATCGGCGGGGTGGTGCTTTTACTCGGGTAGGATGGAGGGAACCAGAAGAGATCTGCAAAATCCTACGAGCACGGCACTGGGCAGTGAGCACACAGTCAGTAGCCGCCACGGGCAGAAGCTACCGTAATAGTTTGGCTACAATACTAGTACCGTACTCGTAGTCTACAAGTAAGCACCAGCCCCGCTTCTCAATTGAAGCGTTCAGACAAGAAAATCACCATTGGTCATGAATATCCATCCCACGCCGGTTCCGGGCAAACCCGATCTAAAAATGACAAATCACTGCGCGGGGGGGGCTCTGTTTCTTACTATCCACATGCGGTACTCGTGGGTGCTTTCTTTGTGCTTTTGGGTTGCTTTACTGGTGAAACAATTTGGACCCTCTGCTGTGGGCGCTTCGAGGGTCTCTTGGTATGCACATACCATGCCCCGCAACTAGTATGATAAGTTACCACCAGAACAAATTCGACAAATTAGAGGGGTTTAGCCGCACTGTGCTCTCAGGATTTCATGCTAAATTTCAAAGTTAGCTGGCAAGAAAATGTGATGGTTGGTTGTATGGGTTTTGCCAACCTGTGCTAAAATCAATTTTATTGTAGTTATGTAACTGTGTTGGATGAAATATCAAGCCTCATCTCTTATTTTGACCTGCTCTAACAAGCCAATAGCCAATAGTCCTTAAGGTTGTTATACAAGAAAGAATTCTGCCCCCACTTAATTTACACTTTATTGATTTTTTTTATTTTTATTTTTTACTCTCTATTTCTTACTACATGCATCTCAATTTATATAAGAAATACTATTTAGTTTAAGTTGTTCTATTTACTGATATTAGTTACTATTATCTAACCAGAGAATATTTACAACTTCAAGAGTAATAGAAGCAGGAAGCAGGACATGCATAAAAGGACAACTGTATATGTCTTCCAATTAGCTATATTCAAAGACCTGATTAATGTTTGGATAATTCTGAATTCTATTGTTTCTATAATAATTCAAAGTTTATTGAGTACTTTATATTATTAGTATTTAATAATATATTGGTATATGTCTCTATAAGATTTCAGAAATTATTTTTTAGAATAGCTAATAACTTACTTCAATCAAAATCTCTAAATATATAAATAGAATAGCAAAAGTTTTCAGTGTACTATATATTTAGAAATAGATTAATAGAACAACATACTCTTTTATTATTCTAGTAAATATTAGGCTATATACTAGTATTACTATAGTAGTTATAAGAAAGCTTATAGCTTTTAGTTTCAATCTATAGAAATACCAGATAAGCTTATATCTAGTTCCTACAAACTATATATAAGACTAAATAGTAATTAGATAATATGGTCTGACTTTATACTTAAAATAATTCTTCAAGAACTTCTAGGAGATAAATATTACCTCCATAGTGATTTAAAATATTGGCCTACATTTGGTATTATGAATCAATATTTGTTATCTACCTTAGATATACCCCTTTTCCAGACAGAAAAAGTTGTAAAATTTTTTATACCAAGTACAGGAATCTTAGTTGAGTGAAACTTTAACTTAAATGTTAATTTCTGCTAGCAGAGTATTTATAATTATAAAAAAGATTCTAAAATTATGTCCTTCCTAGTTGTTATATATTATCTTGTTTCTACCTTACTTACAAATATATATACCTTCTTAAAAGAAAGAAATGTTATTTATAATAAATTTCAATATTTTCCTCTATGTTAGGAAGATCATATTTATAATATATACTATTAGTTTATTTGTAGGTACTACTTTTACTCTAAGTTAGTTTTATTTTTTATTTAGTATTATAATACTCTTTTTCTACTTTGTATTGATTATGATATTATTTATATTTACTGATAAAATAACTATAAATTATAATATGAAAAGAAGAGTAGATAGAAGTATATTATTCAGTTAATTGTTTTTGACTCAAGGATTTAGGATACAATCCACTTTTAAAGTAGTATCCTGTACTATTTCTTTTAGCTTTTTTGTATCTTTACATACAGCTTCTTACTTTTTTCAAGTTCTGAAACTCTTTTCTTTTCTACTTAATCTTCTGATATATTAAAAGCTTGAGTTATAGGCTTAACAGTATGAACCAAGTAGTTACTACCTTGTTATTATTTACTAGTATCCATAGTAATAGTATAAGCCTGTGGCCTTTTCTTTCTTTCTTGCATATTTTCAACTTTTTTACTCTTTAATATTCTTTACCTATCATTTTGGTTATCTAATAATAGCTTAGTCTTATAGCAATTAGTTAGGACAGTAGCAGCCTTGCAAAACACTTATTTTTTAATATTAAAAGTTAAATATTCTCATAGTCTAGTCTTGTCTTTTTATAGTCTACTTTTCCTCTTTTATCTTCTTTCTATTTGGCTTTCTTATTCCTCTTAGCTTGAATAACCTATTGATTTCAGGTATTTAGTACTTAATTAAGTTTAGACTCTATATAAGTACTTCTAAAAGCCTGTAAATCTTAATATTATTATACTAGCAAGTAACTATTAGTCCTAAATTATTCCTGTAATATTATTTAACTAACCTTTAAAGACTTAGAAGTATATTGTTTAATCATATTATAATTGATTATGCATTTTCAATATTCTTTTCTGTAATCCAATTAAAGACTTTGGTATAATGATTCTAAAACTTTTTCTTTCCTTACAGAAATTTCTCTTTATGTATGGAGTATAGTAGGTATGCAGACATGTATTAAGAATCCTACCGAGTAGGACCGAGCGACAGGTAACGATACTTCTCTTGATACAAGATGATAGTTCTCAGGCCTATGCCTACGCGATCCCGATAGTCCAGTCCTATGACTACTATCTTGTTCGCGCCTATCTCCTTATTCTTCTCCTTAGTCCTCGCTTACCACTTAATCTCTCCTCGTGGGAGGAAAGACAATTCTTGGGTTTCTTAAGATAAATCTTAAAGATCGTAAAGGTAGATTTTATTGATACTAACTTAAAGGTAGGAAATAAACAAGAAGAACATGTGAAGAGCTAATACTAGGGGTCCTAGTGACCCTTTATATAGTAGCTCTTCACCTGACATGACTCATACTTATGCGTCATGCGAACCTTGTGACTCATAACTATGAGTCACCCGAAATCCCTCAGCCGACTCCTATAAGTCGCTGCGCAACATGCCTAAAACCAATCAAACTATAATAACCAAGTCAGGTGCACAACTCGCGTCACCTGAGTGAAACCCATGACTCATAAGTATGAGTCATGTGTGAAACTTCATAACATCATGTGACTCACAACTGTGAGTCACGAACAGGTAAACATAATAACCTATGGCGCACTAGTGTGTGTCATGTGAAATCCCAACATACCTATAGCTCGGAATTGCGAGCTATGTAAAATCTGCTTTGCTTAGTCACAGTTTGTGACAACATGGAGGAGTTGGCTTCATGCAGTGATCCTTTTACTGTGGAGTATTTCTTGAAGCTTAGCTGTACTAACTTTTACTAGCTATTGCTTATAGCTATGTACAAATCTAAACACTGTGCTAATTAACAATTTATATCAACTCATCCTCTACAGATCTAAACATCAACACAAGTACTAGAGTTGTTGCTACAGTGAATAGTCCCGTTGCATCTGGCAACAGCACCGTTCCCATTTAGCATGGTCCGGCGAAACCCCTCTCTCTATTCGACAGGTTCGATTCCTCCAACCTCCACCCACCACAGATCCTCCAGGAGTGACCCCTTCCGAATGATTTCCCCCGGTATCGGGGGCAGAAAAGCAGAGGTATGATATCTTCTCTGCAGGGGCTCAAACGATTCATGCTCAAGCCCAGCATAACAGAGTGTCGACAAATCAAATAGAATGTTTGTCCGGGAAGATTTTATGAAGCCGGAAACACGGGATTTTGAGCCCATCCACCGCAATGTGAACCTCCCATCCAGCCCCAAATCTTATGTTTCCTGACTCCTGGGATTTCTGGATACGTTCGCCGCGAACGCCCTTGTGATGCAGGTCTGCACATCCCAACTACTGCTCGTAGCAATGGTCTCGCAAATTTTTACGCATGGGATGCTCCGTCGTCGCCATGACAGCTATCAACTCCTCCGTCCCCCCGGATAGATAACATTGTTTGCCAGGTCCCCCATTGGAAAATAGATTGAAAAATTGGTCAATTGTGAGGGACTTCTGTCATTCACCCCAGTTCTCCGATACCATCGCACGTTAACCCGCCAAGGGTGGGCTTAATATTTATAAAACTCGAACATTGGCTCATCGCTTGGCGGAACTTCTGTGGGCTAACTTTACCCGTGCGAGCACTATGGCCGAGGAAATTACGGTCTCGGAGAACAAGCATGCCAGTGCCGGGACTCGGGATCCCGCTATCTCCGTGAAACTTATACTCGTTTTCCATCTATTAATGCGCCGGGAATGATCCATCCGCTCCCCTCGTCCTGGAGAGCCATGGTTCTCATCGGAGCCTTACTCGAAAAACCCTTTGGGAGGATTGAAGTGGGGCAGGATTTCCCCGGCAAAGTTATCCGGGAGGAAGAGAAGTGAATTGGTCGAGTTGGATAGGAAAGACCTGTTTCTAATCCCTGTTCGGCCCCTCATCCTATTCTCGTGGTGCTCCGGTTGAGGACTGTATGTGATCGGACGATCGTGGAGCCTGGAATGAGAGAAGAAAGAAAGACAGCCACGGCACGGTGCTTCGCTCAAAGGCATGCGGTGAGGCTTTCCGCCAAAAAATTATGCTGCCAACAAACCCACGTCAAATCAGGCCATTTCGAGCTTTGGTAATTTTACGCCCGCAACCCAGGATTATTATAGCGGTATGTTTACCAGCCGTCACGGCGAGTGCAAATCACTACGGGTACCATCCGCCAAACACCTTTCCACTATGATAAATTACCATACCGACACCGCACTCTACCCTCCAATTATGGCCACGGCCTCCCACCCACCCACCACCCCTCGCCTTCCCCCGAATATGATACACCAGATATCCTGCCTGAGTACGGTACTCGAGCACTCGAGCACTCGTGTTTGCGCGCCAATCAAGTGATGATGCATAGCAACGGCCACGTTGATCAGCGTCGAAGCTTAATTTGCGCGCAAGCATCATGCCAACAGTGCCCGGTTGGGGAACAGGGAGATCAGGGAGGTTGTGGTGGAACGACAGGGATTGTGTTGATCAATATCGGTAATTAAAGTTATCAAACCTCATGGGAAGAAATACGGTACTGTACTCGAGTACAATACCGGTATACGGAATCCACATCAATTGCATTAATCGGGGTGTGCCCTCCTCTGAAATTCGGATGTTGGGGGTTGGGGAGGGCTTCTGGGCGTTTCAGGTATCATACTCGTACAAGTACTCTACAGCAGTCCGCAAAGCCGACTTGTGCTGGAACTGCACGCGGGATATCCCGTTCCCGGCGGGGTAGTGCGTGTTGTATCCACTCGGAGCCGTTTGTGTCCGCCAGAACTCAACGTCAGGGCTGGGCACCAGCGTGCGTTATTAAATGGAACAGCGGCTACAGTATAGGTGAGGCATACACGGGGCTCCGGAATACAATACCATTGGAAACTGGGCCGTCATAATCTGCATCACCAGAGCAACGGTCGGACTAAACTCCTTTGGAGCAGACCCGGGGACACGGTACAGTCCCGTATGATACGGTACGTGACAGGATCTCTCCGTGCGGCGCTCAACTCGCCTGTGATTTGACCATTCTCACTTCCGGAACAAGGAGAGAGAGGTTTTGTCGGTTTGGGCTTGGGTTGTTCTTCCCGGAGCAAGTGGAGGTTATTATTTATGACAGTGGTAGTTTTCCAGTTCTGGGTGTCCCATCCAAGGACGCGGGCTAGTATTTGACATCGATAAGTTTTAACTTATCATGATAACGTGCCCGAGTGCAGTACTGGCACTTTGAGGGTTTTTGGGTGGTGGTGGTGGAAGGGGATCAAACCGTGCAGAGGGGGGGGGTAGAAGGTTCCGTTGCTGCACTTTGGACTGCCAGTACCGGTACCGGTACTTGTACTGTAATATGCTTATATTACTCGTGTAATTTACAGACACAGAAGTCTTCGATCCCTTGGGCGGCCCGGAACGGCAAAATCCGCACCCAACACGCTAATCCTGTTTTGGGTGCATTCGGGCATTGTGATTGGTTGGCAGTTGACCATTGCTAAGATACTTGTACTCGAGTACTGGTGCTACACTAAGTCACTTGAACATTGGAAAGGCTACCATCAAAAGCAAGATATCATACCTCTAACTTGCTGACTGGTCTGGGATAGGTGCACCTGCAAATCTTACCTGTACTCGAGTACTAGTACTACTTGTATTCCAGGCCAGCCAAGGGATAGGGTTTCTAATGGCAGGCTTGGACACGATACCGGTACTGTAGGCTGGCTGCCACTCTCGAGAGGCTGGTGATACGGGACAACGGTCGAGTTTTGACATGATATGAAGAAATTTCAAACCTATAGAGGTTCGCACGAGGCAGTGAGGTACCGGAATCCGGATCACGCTCTCGAGATCCGGGGCAGCGGGGTGAGGCTCTACCAGCACTCGTACTCAAGTATGATATGCTGTACTCGAGTACTGTACTGGTGTACTCGGTACTCGAGTACGCTCGTATACGGGTAGTGCAGATACCGGGCACCGGTATCACAATTTCGGGAGGAGTGTTTCTGCCCCGATGGATCGTCGATTTCCATTCTGTGCCGCATTTTAGGAGCTGCCATACAATAGCGTGGATAACATTGGCTACCCATCCTGGCGAAATAGAAAAGAGATCACTTCTCAGGTGGCCAAGTTTCGGGATGATCCGTCCAAAGAAGAAAAGAAAGGAAATACTAGTAAAAAAGGTGGCTGCTTGTGTAGCCAATGTCTTTCGGCAATAAATTTTTTTATAGTAATTACTGTAATGAGTGCCTTTTTCAAAAGCGTGAGCGAGATTTCATCTGTTTTACCGGCATCCAGTTGTGTGATTGATAGATACCGGTACGAGAACTGGCATTGGTACAGTACGGTACTCGGGCATGGACGGAGGTGATGAGACGGACAGGGGTTCAATGCATCAAAGCTTTTCGCCCTTTCTAGCATCATGCCTACCAAGTTAAATTATTTTTTACTCCAGAGTCCAGATGGTATTCAGCGCCTGGACTCAGGACCCCTGTCCGTCTCATCACCTCCGTCCACACCCGAGTACTGTACCGGCAGGCTGGGGTAGGCTTACGAGTACCTGCGTGCCGCTATCACGGCGGCCTTTGGTGTTGGTTGTCGATAACTACTCGAACCATACCGGTAGAGAGACCGTAGGGCAAGTATTCCGAGTGCCAATCATACTATATCCGACGTGACCAGGTGACCGCTCATCGCGATTGTTCACGGACTGGCCCTGGTGTCCGAGCACTCCTCACCTCGTTATTTATTAGCTGGAGAGGAGCATTGTGCTGTTCCTGTTCTGCTGTTTCTTTTCCCGCAGAGCGCTGCATGTATCCCAGGGCATGGTACCCGTGAGACGACGAAGAAGACGAAGAAGAAGAGCCGAATAAAAGGAAAATAGGGTACCGGCATGAGGGCAAGTGCCCCGTGCCAATTCCCCTATCATACCGGTGCTGGTACCAGTACTCGAGTACAGTACGGTACAAGTATCATAATTTCGCTGCTGACCTTGCCGGAAAACTCGTAGTGAGCTCTTTTCCAACGAATCATAAGTTAACAAACCAAAACCTCCCGACATTTACCACTGGCAACGCGCACACTTCAGAACACGGGAAATTTGCTGTTTCACCTGACACACGCGCAGACGGTTCGCTTCCCTCCCTTTTTCTGCCTTGATGCGCTATCCCTCTGTTTTCTTTTTTTCTTTTTTCCTAATAAGATCGCGCCTTATCCTGGCCACTCCAGGGGGACAAAAGCGGAGCGGAAGAAGGAGAAGAAGCAGCAGAAGAAGAAGACAGGAACCATGGGCCTCTTGATTCTGGAACCGAAGAAGCGGGGTGGTGATGATCACGTTCCCGGTAGGCCTTTCTCTGCATCCATGAGGACATGTGTGGGGTTCGCTAATGAGGATTCAGGCACCGCATTCATCGGCGCCGGAGGGACGGCCGCTTCCGTGACGACTGCGACTGGAGACCTGGATCCGAACCTAAAGTACGACTTGACTGGTGATGTTCCGATAGTTCTTGTTCCTCAGCCTTCTGATGACCCGAACGACCCGTTGGTAGGTTTCCCTTCCATCAATGGGTTTGGTTGTGGTTGGGGTGAGCATGTTGGGAATGCTGATAGGGATGGAGTAGAACTGGCCGTTGTGGGAGAGGGACTTGATCACGTTTATCCTTTGCTTGGTTTCTGTGAGTTTGCACCTTGCTCTAGCCAGCTTTCTTATGCTCCGCTCAGCCCTAGTACTTAGATCTGGCCTACTAGTGCCCTGATATGGCAATACTGACTGATAACAACTGTATAGGTCATGGCTGCTACGTAAGTTATATCATGAGCTCTGGAACTTTTAGGATATGGGGAGATGCTAATAACCTATAAGACTAGCACCTATCCTTGCTCCGAGCACTGTCCTATTTGTAGTACACTTCAAGCGTGACTTTACAGATATTGCCCTTTTGACGGGCTACCACCTCTGTGGTGTTGGTGTCGCTGGGATGTTGTTTGTTGCGTCCGCGAGAGTCTATGGAAAGCGGCATTTGTACCTATTGGGTGCGGTGTTGCTGATTGTGTCTCCCCTTTGGGGTGGTTTGGCCACCAGTTACAAATCCTTTCTCTGGGCGAGAATTCTCCAGGGTGTGGCAGTTTGTCCGTTCGAAACTTTGGTGAACATTTCCGTTGGTGAGATGTATTGTGTGCATGTGAGTTTTCCCTTGGCAAGCCTGGCGGAGGAGAGGGCTGTAAGTAAGATTAGTAGCCAACTAGCAAACGCTGTGTATAGCAAGTTGGAAAGCGCATGGCCTTGTCGAACTTTGCTCTCTTCGGAGGTTCCTTCCTGACACCGGTTATCGTGGGCAAGGTTACTGGGGAGTTGGGGTGGCAGTGGCCGTTTTTCCTTATCTCAATATTCTCTGGGGTTCTGTTGCCTTTGGTTAGCATTCCTGTCCCGGCCCGATGCGTGGGATATCAAACTGACGAGTTGGGCTACTAGGTAGTGCTCTGGGTCCCGGAAACTACCTACAATCGTCCAGCATATCATAACACGACATTATCCAACCAAGGTAAGCAACATTCGTAGTCAGGTTCAATGGGGATGATCTCAAACTACGGGATCTATCGAATCGACTGGGAGACAGCAGGCTAACACTCATGCAATATCTTCAGCCCATTTCCAGCACACGGCTGTTAGCCCAAGACACTCCTTTGTGCAGCGAATGTCCGTCTTTAGTGGCCGGAAGACACCCGAATCACCCTTAAAGCTCTTCCTCCGCCCAATCGTGCTTCTCTTTCATCCAGCTGTGATGTGGGGTATGCTTACACAGGGGGTAATGATCGGATGGACCGTGATGATTGGTGTTGTCCTTGCAGCTGTGGTGTGTACCCTCCCTACCCTGCCCTTAGGTTTTTGTTCCAGAGGCTAATTCTCATAGTTCTTGCTTCCTCCTCTTTCTTTCACTGAGGTCGAAGTTGGCTACATGTATACCGGCGCCTTTATTGGCTCTCTGGCTGGTTTGGCCGTCACTGGCCCATTAGCGGACTGGTCCGCCAAGTACTTCGCTAGAATAAACAAGGGAATCTATGAACCGGAATTTCGCCTCTACTTGGTGATCCCACAGGCGGTTACTGGCTGCCTTGGTCTGTTCCATCTCACCCTTCTAGCTTTTGCTATCAAATCATTTTAACGACGCGTGTGTGCGGATAGGGCTCTACATGTTTGGCGTCACCGCTTCCAACACCGCGAAATACGGCTGGTTCTGGCCGGACTTTTTCTTTGGGCTTGAGTTCGTTCTCGGTCCCATCCTTTCCTTAACATTGCTCTCCAAAACAATATCGGTAGAAGGAGAAAAGCTAACAGACGCAGGTTGATGGGTATGACAATGGGCGCTATATCATCGGCGCTCTACCTTGTCGACGCATACCCGAGCATTGCTATAGAGACCTTCACTTGCTTGCTGCTGTTTAAGAATTTCTTCTCTTTTGCGCTGACTTGGGAAGCTTTCAACTGGCTGCGCGATGCGGGGACCAAGGATTTGTTCATCTATATTGCCTCCGTCCAGGTGGCAGTTTGCTCTCTTACTCTGCCAATGTGTACGTTTTACTCCCTTTCCCTTCCCCTCCTTCTCTCTTGACCGACCGACAGGAGGAGCTAACGAGACGTGTGTGTAGACTTTTTCGGGAAGGTTGTTAGGGATCTTATGCATAGGTATGACATTCTGAGGATGACGGGTCTAGACATTGGAAAACCAGGGGGAGGGGGATTAGAATATGGGGGGCCGAGTATCGGGATGAGTGAGGTAATAGGTGAATTTGCATAAAATGGTCTTGTCCTCTCCTGTGGGCAGCACTTCTGTTTCTTTCCGTAATCGACTCGGAATTCCCATGCAGGGGTGCCCGCTGGTTTAAGTGGTGAATAATGGTGATTTATTTGTATTATACCTCATGTTTATTTTTTTCCTGGAGGGGCTTATCAGGCTGGGGAACGTGGCTTGTAAGGGTTATTTATAGGAAGTAATATAAGCGGAATGTATGAAAGGAAAGGAAAAAAAGTGTTCGGGAGACGGATCAATTTCGCCAGCGACATGAGCACCACTTTGCACCTCATGACAAGCACCAATCGAGAGCTCCACCTCACGTCGGGGGGGGGGGGTCCACGATACGAGATTTCCAATACGCACCCCAAAGCCCTTTATAAAACAACCAACAAGGAATGAATATATAAAAACCAAGGACACACAACCGCTCCTCCCTCCCCATCATCCCAAACGCCCGGATCCCGAATGTATCCGGGACAACATCAGAGAGAGACCATTTGCATGGAACGTCACTCGCCATTTCTCCCCTCTGTTGTGAACAATCCTGTGCGTAAGGTGATATGACGGATTATATCATCTGACAAAGCCCCGGTCGCGGCAGATATCGATAAATGGATAAATGAATAGAGTAAAATGGGTTTCAGGGAGGGCAAGCAAGCGAGCACCGTAGATGAAGAATGAAGGAGGGGGAAAAGAACTAAAGGGATATATATATACGGGATTGGCAGTAAGTAGTAAGATAGAGTTATAATATAACATATGCTAGGAAGGAATTCGAGACGCTGTGCTTTATATGTATGTGTGGATGGATGGATGGATGGATGGATGGGTGGATCAGTTCGCGGGGTACTAGTAGTCTACTTTTCTACTGTAAGTTACCTACCGGGCAGCCTGTGGTTGCCCGCACTGCGCTGTAACTGTAACTGTAACTGTAGCTGTAGCTGTAGCTGTAGCTGTATGGGTACGAACGACACGAACCGACTATAAATACGGACTGGTACGATTTACTGCTATAGTCGTCGGTGCACCACCGGCCATCGCTGTACACATCCATCCCATATTACTACTACGCTACATGTTACGTACGATAATAGCACCACAATATTCTCATCCCACGTTATATATCTATCAATTTGTCAAAACGTCATACCTATACCACAATATTACACACAACCTTTGTATTCAATATATGTATGTACCCACAGTACCGATAATACCCATGATAAACCCCCCGCCGTTTGTCGGTTCGAAATTTCACGCTTGGAGGGGGGGGGGAGGGGGGGGGAGGTAGTATCATATCATATCATACCGGCATGCACGGTAGGTATGTAGGTAGGTAAACTCGACTCCACAATCACCCATCGTAAGCGTTCTAGGTATAAATGATAGTAGTCGTTGTGATGCGGGTGGTGTATGATGGATATATTGTGTTTTTGCTATCATATTGTATGTGTAATAGATAATAAGGGAGGGTACGTACGGTGCGGTAGGATATCGTAGTCATGATAGTACTGCTGGTGTGATAAGGGAAGTATATATCGCACCCGCACCGCGCAGTCACTGGTTGGTGGTCTGTATACAGTGGAATAGTGGCTGTCTGGAGAGGTATGATAAGATCATACCGGTATGTGTGTATGTATCAGGAGGTGAGTTTGTCCGGAATATACGCCAGGGCAGATGGCGCTTTTATGAGAGCGGGAAGTGCGAGTAGATTATTACTATGAGCTCCTGCTCAGCGGTGATAACCAAGAGCAACTTTTTTTTTTTTTTTTTTTACTCCTCTTGTGTAAATTGGAGAATCACTCGTGGATGACTGACTGACTGACTGACTATCTATAACCACACAAGTTAGCACGTGGAGGAGAAGCAAGGTTTACTCCCGATAGCTAGAAAGATTGAACGTTCCCAACACACAACCTATATATTGCTCGAGTATGATAGATAGTCTAGATGAAAATAAGAAAAATATCATAGGGCGAACTGGGGAAAAAAAAGTGCGCCAGAAGGGAATCGAACCCCTGCCGATTGCTTGGAAGGCAATAATCCTACCACTGGACCACTAGCGCTATATTACATAACACTGAATCAAGCAATCGAAATTCGAAATTCCCATTCCCAATCCCGTCGTCCACAACCGCCAAGCCACAAACCTCGCTCACTTCTTTCTTTCCTCCAAACTACTACAATACAATACCATCCATCACCTCTCACCTCACTACATAATCCACACGAAACCGGAAGAAAAAAACATAAAAAAAATGTCAGACCCCCAAGAAACCTCCGACCCCTCCACCTTCCTCGGCGAGATAATCGGCGCCCCCATAACTGTGAAGCTCAACTCGGGCGTCGAGTACAAAGGTGCCAATCCTTCTACGTCCCGGGGGTATGTTGTCGAGCTAATGTTTCCCGTTGCCGGCGGCTTGATAGGTGAATTGTCGTCGGTGGACGGGTACATGAATATTGCGCTGGAGAAGACGGTGGAGTACGTTGGGGGGCAGGTGAGGAATAGGTATGGGGATGTGTTTATCCGGGGGAATAATGGTGAGTTTTGGTCCCCCGATTATGGGGAGATGGGAGGGATGGCTGATGTGGGGGGAGGGGGTGGATAGTGTTGTATATTTCTCAAGATGCCACGTGATGGTGGATACGGGGGATGGGGTAGGTTGGAATTATAGGGCTGCGATAGGTTTGCAATACCAATACGGCGCGAGTAATGACCTTACTACTGCTATGTTCCAATTCTCTAAACTGAATAAGCACCCCGGTAAACACATTTCCCGTATGGTGAGAAAAGAAAGAAATGCGAAGCCGTACACGCTAGGGAGAGGACAACACTTGAGAGAAGAGAAAAAGAGAAAACACCCACACCCTTCACCAGTTTTTTCTTTTCTTTTTCGCTTTGAGCCTCCACCAGGGAAACGAGAATAACTGAATGGAGCAGGTACCACTGTGCCGGATACAAAACTAATAAGCGAAAGAGCACATTATACGCTTCAGAAAGAAAGTCTGAAAATGATGCAAGCAGATCACTTCTTCTTCCCGAACCTCAGCATGCCCCTGAGTTTATTCTCCTTTGAAGCACGATCACCTCCTCCGGAGCTCTTTCCTTTCCCCTTACTAGAGCCTCCTCCAGAGTTGTCATCGGAATCCGGCCCGCCTTCTGGTCCTTCAGGCTCCCTGGGTGTTGGAAAAGCCTTTGAATTTTTGATAAACTCATCTTTAAGAGTTGGTTCGTGCTTGGCTTTTGCTGAGACGTCGGGCCCCCAGACTAGATGCACGGTGGCACCGGTTCGCAATTTGAGGTCAGTGGTAAGTCGTTTTGGTGCTTGAGGGAGAGTTTCTTTGGGAGGGATTCCTGGAATGCATGTTAGAAATTGATCGGGTAGAGGTGTCACTGTTTTGGCTTACTAAGCTGGAAAGGCTCGTTGGGGTGGCGGAGGGTGCCTCTGACAGCATCGTAGAGATCCTGAGCTATAGATTGGAAAGATGATTAGTCTACCAGATGAACATTGAATAACCAGAGTTTACACGTACCAGTATGAGTCTTAAGAAAGTTCTGTTCGGAAGTATATCCGTCCGGGAAACGGACTTTGATAACGACCTATAGATAGCACATATGAGCGACTCCAGCCTCTCACCTAGGTATTGCACATACCCTCTCGACTTTCTCCGCCTCTGCGAGCATGGCAGCTTTCCTCTCTTCGATCTCTCTATCAGAAGGCAAGCGTTTTCCAATAGTCTCCTTCTTGATGTTTGCTTGGATAAGTTTGGCTTCAGTGATTCCAACCTCGTATGCTTTGTCCGGAACATCGACTGCAGGGCATCAGCATCATATCTTTCGGTTACAAAAATGGGCTCCAATAATCCTTACTCTGAGCTGCTGCAAGTTTATCGGACAGTGAAGGCTTAAAAACTGAGACCACCTGTTCACTAGAACCCAGTGACTCAGAAGGGCCACCCTTGGTCTCAAGCACATTGACCGATCCCTCCGTAGGTTTATCAACCTCCATTGCGTTATTTTCGCCCGTATCCTCCTGCTTAGCCATATCCTCCGGAGCATCAAACATCATTAAATCTCCCTCCACCTTCATTTTCTCCTCTTCGGCACCCTTCGAAGATTCCCCACCATCCGGCATTCCTGCCTCAGCAGCCTTCTCCTTTGGAGCCGAAAACCCAGCAATCTCATCCAATGCAACCTCAAAAGGGATATCTGTCTCTTTGTACCTAAGCGTAACCAACTGTCTCCCACTCCTGATCCCGAAATCACTCAAGGTCTGCTGTAGTTCACGAAAACCGGAGACCTCCCTGTTCATGACCCGCACCACGGGCATGACATAGTGCAAGCGCCCACTCCCGGAAGTTCCGGAGGGGGCTGCACGCTCAGTGATATTGATGGTAGGGCTGTTATTTGTGAGGGAACCTTTAGCTTCCAGCTTCCGCATGATCCCCCATATTGTGCTAGCGGCGGTGAACGTGTCTGTGAATTCCTGGATTGGCTTGTCGTCGGCCTCTTGCGACCTAAGGACTATTGTTATCGGGGCGTCACGGTTCCTGGCTGGGACTAGGTCGAGTTTTGCCCCGGGGCTGAGGTTTGTCAGGCGGATTTGGAGCGAGAGGTCTAGAGTTGCATTCCCTTTCCTGTAACGGTCAGAATAGATTCAGTTAGTTGAATTGCCCCCCCCCATACCCTAGATATCTATATATGCGCATGTGTGGGTCTGTGAGCATGTGCGAGTAACAGGGTCCTACTTGAGAGCGAAGTTCTGGGGATCAACTCCCAACTTTGTACAAGCTTCTGTGTGGATTTCACTCAGAGTCCTGGTCGGAGGAGCTTTGACAGTTGCCCTCCGGCCGCCGTAGATAACGACTACGGCCGCGGAAGACATTCTCGATGCTAGTTATGAGGAGAGAGGTGGCAGCTTGTAGGTGACTGTGGTTGAGGGGAAAGAGGTCAAAGGAAGGGGAGGGGGGGTGTTGCGGCTCGTTCGTAATGAGCACCCAGCAGCGCTATCATGCAAGGAAATATTGTTCCGATAGACTAACGGTAGGTCATGGCTAACTTCTGTGGGGTTTGCGGGCAATAGTCTTGGCACGTCACCAGGGCCAGTCGGAGAGCCTGGAAGCCTCTGGAAGATGCGCCGTTGGAAATATGAGACCTGTATCAGATATATCATACTTGTACTGATACAGCTTATCCGCTGTATGGCACTGTAGCTTGCTTTCCAGGTCTTAACTAGAAGCTTCGACGGAAGAAACGGAGACTGTCACCCTGGGTCCTGTGATACCGATTCCGGTAAGCTATTTCCGGCACAGTATTCTCCCAAAATCGACATCCATTAAGTTATCCCACCCTGCTGCCACAGGTAGCTCCATAAATTAATAGGGGTCGGCATAAACAACCGCCTTGGAGCTCTCGGACCGATGGTATATTGTAATAATAAAATAAAATAAAATAAAAAACACTTATCCGGCGCTTGTTAAATTATCTGTCCTAACCACAAAAGCATGTTCCGTAGACCCAACAAGTTCGCCGGATCAAACTGCACCGCTCATGCTTCCGCTCTGCGCAACGTCACAGCGATAGCCTTGAACTTGTATCAGAGCAAAGCTGTTACCGAAATCTGGAATTGCCACTGCTAGGCCCCACGGAAACCTTTATCAAACCAAGAGTCCTAGATGCGCTTATTTGATCTCCCAGTAGTTGTATAGGTACCACTCCCCATCTCCAAGCCCATTGTTGGGGAGCCAAAAGCTACCAGTAAATTATTTGCGTATAGTTCCGGATAAATGTATATTCCAATTGTTCCGTGAACATGGCGTGGTGGAGGTAGTTTTCGAGATATCACAAAGGAGCAAACCCAATCATTTCCAGAGACCACCCAGGCGTCGCTCCAACCTACTTGCCGATATCACACCATATACGCTACATCGCCATACCCTGCCAGGACCCCAATATTCGAGTCATAAAAAAAATTCTATACAGGCAGGAAAGGGTATTTATTCGCAGCTATCCACAGCTCTAGAAATAGAGGAGACGACGTGATGATGATTTATGAGTATAAATACAGACACCCAAATCCCATTGTGGCTCTCGCAGAAGTCCTCTCCATCCTTTTTTTTTATATTAATATTAGTCTTGTCTTCCTATCCGCCCGCGAAAGTAGATTGTTAGCTACCAAACCACCACGGAAAAGAAACCAAGAAGAAAGCGCTGATAGGTGAGGGGGGAGTATACCTTTGAGGAGTCTCTTGACAACCTTATCCTTAGTTACAAGATAAACATGTGCACCCCAACCTATGCCTCCGATCAGCAACTATGCAAAACCACTCCCAGGATGTGCAAGAGACCCACCGGACAACGCATCACGGTCAACAGAGTTAAGGAGTGCCTGAGAGATGGCTTCGAACAAGTCCTCTGGCTCCTATAAAACACCAGCATATCAGCAGGTAGCTCTCCTGCTCTATCCATCCTTCATGATCAAGCAGATCATACCAAATCAGGCTCCCACAACCCTTCACAAGTACCAAAGAGCTGGTCAGATGCCGTCCCCGACACAACAAAGTCTTCAGCAAAGTTGATACACCCAATCGAGTCAAATCCGCAGACAAACGGCTTGCCGCTATGTTGATTGATTCCAGCGATGACAGGCGAAACAAAGTACGGTCCGAATCGTTTTTCGTATAGAGACGATGAGACTAGATTCGCCATGGTCTGGGGTTCGATATCACGTTCCTCTCGTAGGCGGTACATGTTCACTTTATAGCGGAAGAGCTCGGAGCTATATGTTCCACCTCTTCATCAGCAAAACTTGACCGGGGGTGGAATGGATGAGGGAGTCAGTGTCCGATAAACGAAACAGACCAACAACGAGAGGGGGGACAAACACAGATGTAACGTCCGTCGCCAAACCTGTCAGACCTAGATAGACATCGCCGTAGTTGAAGATCTTGGGGAAATCATTGGATACAGTAAGGGCCTGCATTCCTAACCTCAGATCGCAGGCAATAGCAACACAATCCTTCCCAACCCTGATTCCATCAACCTTTATCAGTAACTAAGCTTCACAAAGGTGGGAAATGAAGGATTTCGCACATCGCTACAACCGCGCCGCCATTTATGCTGAACGGATTGCTCTATGGGCATAGTTAGCAAACAAAAACCTCCGGCATAGCGGGGGGGGATGCTTCATAGGGGGTAGTAGAAGGGATGTAGATACCATTATGGGTCTTCGTAAAGAAATGGATTTCTAAAAAAGAAAAATCTTCAAGGGATGGATGGATGGACAGATGATGAAAGCTGCGGAGGTCCGATGTTTGATGGATAGCTATGATGCGGTAGTGGAGAACGAACTACAAGTGTTATGGCAGGGTGTTTGTGGGGTCCCCTTGGTGCTATGCCAAGACCTGCACTTCAACACGGCAAGGATGACTAAGGCAGGTAGAACTTTCGGCTCACACTTTCCTGCTGCAAATTCAGAAGAAAGCTATTGCCTGGAGATATCACGCAGCACCTCATCGCGCTCTCTCGAACAATTGGCGACACTTGTCTGAAATATCACTAGCTGTTCCAGGAAACTCTTTCAACCAGGAAAGACAAGGCTTCAACATAATGTTGACTCACAGATTCTCACTCGCCAATGAACCTGGGAAAGACTCGATGCAAAGTTTACCGCTCTGGGGTCCAAATGTTTCGATAGCGACAGAAACTGTAGATGGTAAGTGTGTAACCCCCACTTGCCTCGATTCTATTTATTTATTTTCCGATCAGTAACCTAGAGGCTAGTAAACTAAACTAGTTTGATATTCAGAACCAAAATAGTCTCAAAAACCCGCACACAAGCCCCCCGCAGCAGGGGGACCCACACGCTTCCCTTCCTATCGCCCCTGATACTAACGCTCGCCATATTGACTGTGCTGGTGTGGCTCTGTTCTTGAATTTCTGTTGTTCCCAAATTTCCAACACTTGCCAGATTCCAAATTCCAACACTATCTCGTTGAAGATAGAATCGTTCCCCCCCCCCAAAAAAAAAACACTTTGCACGGACCTAAAGCTCGCTAAACAAGACAAACAAAAACTCCAATCCCATAATATGTTAGCTGGATGAACAAGCAGGCACACGAAACAAACTCCATCCAGGGGCATTTAATCATGCCCACGTAACCTAAGAATGCGACCCAACACCCGGGATATATATAAACAAAAAATAACCAGGAATTTTTACTAAACAGAGGAAATCAATTCGTAAAGGGAAAAAACCACTCGGACTCCTCAATGCATGGTAGAAACGATTTGCTCGCATCAGTTGCGCGGTGGGTGAATGGGATATTGGAAACTAATGAGTAATTGTGATACGGTAATGGTATACTATATCGGAAAAAAAAAATGAAAAGGAGTCGGGAAGAGGTGAAGAAGGATAGTGGGATGGAAAAAGAACAAGTACACAGGTATGGTATATTGTCTTTCAGTTGACGTAGACATCAACCGTGAACATATCTTCGAGCTCAGTGTCACGAATTTCTCCATCCGGGTCTAGTTGGTCGCCGTCGAAGTCGAGAATGATCGCCTTAGAAGGATCAATGGCTCTGGCAATCCTGAACGAGTCGATAAGCTCAGATATTTTGGTACTCTAGTAGACATATGTAAGTTCGTGGTGTCCCCAGGACTATGGGAGAGGAACTTTTTACTTACCGGTCTAACTTTGGTGGGGAAATTCCCATATCCTTTGCTTTTAAGGACAATTCCAATAGACTCCTCTACTTTTTCCTCTGGCTCCTCCTCAAGACCATCGTACTGGGCCTCACGGCTTCTCTCCCTCTCAGCGAAAATCTCCGCGGTCATTGCTTCAAAGTGTAGATGTTTATCTTTCACCCCTTCGGTGTTTTCTTCAAAGTTCCCCTCTTCGTCGGGGCTGATGCCCATGCCCTTGCAAGTATTAACATCGAATATCTTGTTACCCTTCCAGGTAAGAAAAACATCGCTGGTCGTGTCCTCATTAAAACCTTGGCGTTGGCACCACGCCAATCTAACTTCCTTTAAGGTTTGTCCCACTCGGCGTTTGCATATCAACGGATTGGTTTTCAGAATATCAGAGGTAACAAGTATGGAGACACATGGCCCAAGGGAAGCACTCTGTGATTCAACCGACGGGGACTGGGTCGCGCGCATGCGCGCAGCTCTCTCCCTTGCCTTCTTCTCTATCGCAGCCAAGGCGGGATTCTGTTCTTGGAGTTCATCGTCATCATCGTTGTCGATCGCTAGGGGAGGCGCGCTGCTAGTAACTATAACCTCTGGCTCGCTATCCGAAAGAGAAATTACTGGCGACTGGAAGTTGGGCTTGGGGATAGGGCGAGGCAAGTCAGGTTCAGAATAGAGGAATGGAGGTGGCGTAAGTTCAATTCCGCGGTACCTGTTTTGCTGCACAGATGGCGAAGCCTCGTCGTCGGAATCGTCGAGAATTATTTTCGCATTTTTGTGGCTGAAAAAACAAGACATTAGCAACTCGCAGAAGGACATGGGGAGAGCACATGTTTGGTCACCGGCCGTGCAGGAATGCACTCTGTTTATTTGTAGATCTCCCAAACTTAATATCATCATCCGAAAGCTCCTCACTACTTTTTCTCTTCTTCCCCTTAGGAGAACCTTTGATAGTCAAAGATGGGGAGCGGGATTTCTCAGCCTTCTCTTTTTCTCCCCTAGCTAGATCGCGTTGGCGGATTTCTGCTGCGCTGACAAAGGATTCTTTGGAGCGGCTGAAGAAGCTGATATCGTCCGTCGGCCCAACCGTTTTGACTTGGCCATTGGGTGTCTTGTCAAAAGTCCGCTTCTTAAACATCATCTTCGGTTTCGGTTTCTTCTTTTCCGGGGAAGAGGATTCCATGTTGAACGTTTTACCGAGCGAGCCGATGTTGGTAGTAGTGCCGAAACAAAAAGAAAAGAAAGGTACTGACACGCGAAGATAATCGCCGCGCAGGAGTTAAACTTCAAGGGTGGGATGGGGGTTGAGTAGGAGGGTAGTGCTAGGATCCTAGAGCTTCAAGGTGAGATCTAAAGAGCCGCATAAGGGAGGGGGGGCTGCCAAGCTCCCTGGGACTACCGTACTGAATTCCAGCAGGGAATGACAGCTTTCTGACTTGGCACTTCCCCAGCTAGCTGTCGGCCTGTGCTGAAGTGCTCCAACACGCGATAAAAGCCCCCGCCTAGGAAACCGTTAAGCAGGCTGCTCACTGATTTTGTTTAGGCTGAGAGCTACTATTCAGTTAGAAGAAAGCACAGAATGACAATTTCACCATCTCTCTGGGGCCAGACTGGTGCTTAACGGACCAAATTTTGGTGTGTGACTATGGAAACAGGTTGCCTCGCTAGTTTTCCTGAACCTCTACCCTCTGGTTGGCCGGGTGACCTAGGAGTTAATGAGAACAAGTTTGCCACCTACCCTCAATACCCAGTACTATATAACCCTTTTTTATTCCTATAAGCAAACCATATATTATTAGATTAATTAAATTTTGAAGGATAGCCATTTCAAACTGGTACTGTACCTGTATTGCACTATTTTTACTTATAGTAAAATAGATATTTACTTCAAGTTCAATATATTCCAGTCAGTTCCTTTTCCTAACCTACTGGTACATATTAAATACTAACTAGTAAGGGTCAGTGCCAAAATAGAGTGTACCAGGAGGGTGTGAAGGAGGTAAGGTAGTAATTGTAAGTGCCTTTTATTCTTGTACTTATCTTCTTTCAAGGCTATAAGCTATAATTTTCAAAATAAATACTGATACTAATTTATTAAAATATTAAACTTGATTCATTCTAAAAAAAATAAGAAACTTGTAGTTACCTGTAGTTACTTAGCCTTTGATTCTGTTTTTCTTTATAATACTACTTTATAATTAAATTCTAATCAATTCAACTACTATTTATAATAGTAACACTCTTTCTTCTTAGTTCTTAAACTTTCTAAATACTAATAGAGTAAACCTATTTGAGAGTATCTGGTATTATACTAGGTATATCAGATTAAGTATATCATATAATCTCGAAGAATTGGGCTGGCTTGGGAGTAAGACACAATAAAGGGGCCCGGGTCCCAGGTCCTTCATACCCAATTTGGCAATAAAACAACCTTATGTCTATTTTTTTCTTTTAGTGGAGGGTTTTGAATGACCATTCTCTTTTTTGGCCAAAGCATATTACCTACTTTGTAATAGATTGACATTTTCATGGTGTTTTGTATTGCGAATTCTGTTGAGGCGTACTGCCAAGCCTGCCCAATTTCTCGAGATTATATGGTGATGATATACTAGTATAATAATTATTACTCCTGTTCTCTTACTATATTATTTATAATATTTACTATAAATCTTATATCTTCAATGCCTAATTATGTTTTATCTCTTCTGGCTACTAATAGTAGACATACCTAATTTCAATATTTTGATTTATCCTTTTTACTATTTTTTTCTTTCTTAGATTTTTTTTTAAAAATTAAATACTACTTCTCTCTCATTATATCACATTAGTACTCTTATAGTTACTGCTTCTCCTACTATCATATGGTTCGTGCAGACCAAAACTCTAACCAGGCTGAAAGAGAAATATTATGTGGTTGTGCTACTATAGAGGTTAAGCCCTAACATTATTCATTTTAAAATAAGATATTTGAACTCACTTTTCAGGATTTGTATAGAGCTTATTAAGAAAAAATAACCTGATTCTGAGATGATCAAAAGTTATAACAGAATATATTATTTAAAATGAAATAAAATACTATGATAAATACAAGTATAACTACAAATATAATATTATAATTAGTTAATTATGTTAATCATAATTATTAATACATTGGTGACTTGGGTATTTATGCTGTATCATATTACTTTGTAGTATTATACAATAAAATATAGTAGGTCTAATACTCATGCTAGTAAATATTTATAGGTTATTGGTTTCAAGATTTGTTTTATGTGAGGGCTTGATACAAAAATAGAATTACTAATCCAAATAGTGCCCTAACTTCAAGCAAAACTGTAGCTATGCATAACATATTTTCTTTATTTACACCAAAAATGCCTTATTTCAAATGATTATACCACCAAACCAGATTGTTCAAATGATCCAAAAAAACCTCTACATTGTTGAGAAAGATAAGGAGAATAATGTAGAGGTTTTTTTAGGTTACCTAGATAGCTGGATCTGATGGTATAATCGTCTGAAAACTGCTAAAAATCTGGTTACAGTTTTGGTCCGCATGAACCATACCTATACTATTATTTCCAATATACTTACTTGAACTTTGTATCTATTATCTAAGTTGAATAAATATCTTTATTCTAATTATTTGTTTTCTGATTTATCTTTACTCAGCCTACATACCAGCATTCTTGAAGAATCTTTGATTCTAACTATTAGTAAGGAAATGCACCTTTTTTTTGAGTTTCTTTATATGATACCTTGTATGATTTATAAGTTGACATAATATGATACGACCACTTTAATCATATACGATCACTCGATGAAACCCCGCCGCTTTTCAAGATGTTTAGCAACTCTGTTGATCTTTCCAGACAACCCTTTCTGCCGATCTACCCAATCCCTGTTCCGCCAGCCATAGTTTCCAGAAGTTTATAGTCATGCTAGCATACCCGTGCACTGTGAAAAATCCCCTTCTGGAAAAGATTTTCCACCCAAAACTTTTATCAGTCCTATAATAACCCAAATTTCTTGCACATACCCGTACAAGTGCGCACTCGAGCAGTCAGGAGAGGCCAAGAGAGTGCATGATAACGTGATACATTGCCGATCTATCAATGACGCAAAAGCTACAGTTCCGGCACTCCCGCCCCCAGAACACCTGCTCCCAGCGCTTCCAGGGAATGCCCCCAGCGCTGGGGAAACTCTGGTTGGGCTCTTCCAGTGGCAAAATTGAGCTAACCACGATTCCACCAATCAGAATACGGTATCTCTCTTTTCTGATGGGCATTTGGTACCCCAAAGGGTGACCCTAAAAAGATTTCCCTAGATTGAGTGTGAAGCCACACCACGAAAACCACAGCCGTGGCGTTGTCACCATCATGCTTATCGTTTCTCGGCTTCGGACCCGGTGAGACTACGGTACTTGTACCTCTACTAAATTCCCGGGTTGCAACGAAGAGGTGGCAGGCGCTGCTCCACCTCCACTCACTCGGTTCCACAGTTCCTGCATTCATTTGCCAACAACCGGATACCCGTAGAGTTGCCTTAGATGTTCCGGGAGAGGCTGGAGTGCCAACTATCAACGGGAGTTTCGTTGTCCATTCGCTAATTTACTGTATTTTTTTGGTCTTACTGCCCCAGTTCCGGTACCCCCGGGCAAGTGGGCCACCGTGTCATGAACCCCAAATTTAATTACTAATGTTATCCTCTCGGTTGCGGTTCCCGGGAAATGGGACTCTTTGGTTTGTCGGAATCTTGTCCAGACTGTTTGGTGTCAGGGGGGGAGGGGAAAAGGGGGTTTCTCTTGGCATGGAAGAGTCGAGAGCCGCCTGCCGCTGCTCCCACCGTCCGCGTGGGGCTCCTGGGTCGCGGCTTTTGACTACGAAAAGACCACCTTTCAATTTTGCATCTGCTAGAGTAATCACCATTCAAATCCTTCACTCACTAAGGAGCTCCCCCCCGCCGCTTTTCTATTTTGTTCTTCTATTCTTTCTTTTCTCTCACTTGGATTTTTTTTCTTTAATCGTCGCCCCTATTGCCCCTTATCTCCTTCTCTTCGGACGGAAATCCCGTCGACATCGTGAAGATTACCCCCAACTCAGTGGATACAAACACCGAAACTGCACGGCAACCACTTAATTACCAACCTGCGATAATGGATCGCGCTTATGTTCGGACGACTGAAGATACTTTAAAGTTCTTCAACGTCGATGAACGCGCTGGCCTTGACGATAATCGAGTGAGGACTGCAATTTTGAGATACGGGAGAAATGGTAAGACAGCTCCGTATCCGGGCTAACGAGTTTGAACTTTGGCTGACCCCCCCACCCCCGTGGATCAGCGCTCCCCGAAGAGCCTCCGACTCCATTGTGGCAGCTTGTCCTGGAGCAATTCAAGGATCAGCTGGTGATAATATTATTGGCGTCTGCAGCTGTGTCATTTGTATTGGCTTTTCTGGAGGAGGGTGCTGGCCTGACAGCTTTTGTTGACCCTGCTGTTGTGAGTGGCCCTTCTTGCATGTTATCGGTTGGCATTCTGAGCAAAAGTGCTGATGTTTGGCGAAGATTCTCACCATTTTGATTCTCAATTCGGTCGTGGGTGTCTCCCAAGAGAGTAGTGCCGAGAAGGCAATTGCTGCCCTTCAGGAATATTCCGCCAACGAAGCAAAAGTTGTTCGCAACGGTCATGTCTCCCGGATTCGTGCTGAAGAGCTTGTCCCCGGTGATATCGTCGACGTAGCAGTCGGTGATCGGATACCCGCCGACTGTCGTGTGATCGCCATCCTGAGCAACACTTTTCGCATCGACCAGGCCATCCTCACCGGTGAGAGTGAGAGTGTCAGCAAGGATACCCGCCCCATCAAGGACTCTATGGCTGTCAAACAGGATCAGATCAATATGCTCTTCTCTGGGACAGCGGTTACGGTTGGTCATGCCAGGGCTGTTGTGGTTCTTACCGGTAACTCTACCGCTATCGGTGATATACATACTAGTATCACTTCGCAAATCTCGGAACCCACGCCATTGAAGCAAAAGTTGAACGAGTTTGGGGATGTTCTGGCAAAGGTTATCTCGGTAATTTGTGTAATTGTCTGGCTCATTAACATCGGAAACTTTAGCGATGAATCCCATGGTGGTTGGCTGAAGGGTGCTATCTACTACTTGAAGGTAATGGTCATCGAGCCTATGAGTTTACAGGGCGAGAGGCTAACAGCCGTTGATAGATCGCCGTTTCATTGGGAGTCGCTGCCATTCCGGAAGGTCTCGCCGTGGTTATCACAACTTGTCTCGCCCTTGGGACTCGCAAAATGGCTGCAAAGAACGCTGTTGTCAGGAGTCTACCTTCGGTCGAGACTCTCGGAAGCTGTAGCGTTATTTGTTCTGATAAGACTGGGACCTTGACAACCAACCAGATGAGCGTATCGAGGGCTGTTGTCATTGGTGAATCTCAAATGGAACTTGATGAAATTACGATTGATGGAACTAGCTTCACCCCTGTTGGTGCTATCAAGAACTCGTCTGGAAACGTCTTGGAATCCGTCGCAAGTCAATCAGTCACAATTCGTAAGCTCGCCGAAGTCGCCGCAGTTTGCAATGATGCCGAGCTCTCTTATGATCCTAAAACACAGACCTTCACAAACATTGGCGAGCCCACCGAAGGCGCGCTCAAGGTTTTGGTTGAGAAAATTGGTACCCCCGACACTACCTTGAATCTGCAAACCTCATACAAGGCTGTTGAGAAGCGTCTCGATGAAGCTAATAGATATTACGAATCCCACAATCCCCGTCTCTCGACATACGAGTTCTCTCGTGACAGGAAGAGTATGTCCGTGCTAGTGGGGGATCCTCAAAGACCCCGTTTGTTGGTCAAAGGAGCTCCCGAATCGGTCATGGAAAGATGTACCCACGCCCTTGTTGGTTCCGGCGGACGAAAGGTTCCTTTTGGTCCCAAGGCTCGCGATCTCGTAAACGCCAAGTTGTCGGAATATGCGAACCGCGGTCTCCGTGTTATAGCGTTTGCTGCAATTGACGATATTGGTGCCCATCCCCTGATCCGTTCTGCAACTACTACCCACGAATATGCCCAAATCGAGCAAGGCATGACTTTGATTGGTCTCGTCGGGATGTTGGATCCCCCTCGTCCCGAGGTTGCGAACTCGATCAAGAAGTGCCGTGATGCCGGAATCCGTGTCGTTGTTATTACTGGTGACAACCAACAGACCGCTGAGACTATCTGCCGTCAAATTGGTATCTTTGGGGAATACGAGAATCTGACTGGAAAGAGTTATACCGGCCGTGAATTCGATGCTTTGAGTGAAATTGAACAATTGGAGGTTGCCAAGAGGGCAAGCTTGTTTTCACGGACCGAACCGACTCATAAAAGTAGACTTGTTGATCTCCTTCAGAGCGCTGGTGAAGTTGTGGCAATGACTGGTGATGGTGTTAATGATGCCCCGGCCTTGAAGAAATCTGATATCGGTGTGGCCATGGGCAGTGGAACAGATGTAGCGAAATTGGCAGCAGACATGGTTCTCGCGGATGACAACTTTGCTACGATCGAACTTGCCGTCGAAGAAGGCCGCTCGATCTATGCCAACACCCAGCAATTTATCCGTTACTTGATCTCTTCCAACATCGGTGAGGTGGTTTCCATCTTCCTAACCGCCGCGGCGGGTATGCCCGAAGCGCTCATTCCGGTCCAGCTCCTATGGGTCAACTTGGTCACCGATGGGCTCCCGGCCACTGCTCTATCCTTCAACCCCCCAGACCACGACATCATGAGACGTCCCCCGCGCGGAAGAGATGAAGCACTCGTTGGTGGCTGGCTATTTTTTAGATACATGGTCATCGGCGTGTATGTTGGCGCTGCGACAGTCTTTGGCTATGCCTGGTGGTTCATGTTCAACAGCGAGGGCCCCCAAATCACCTTCTACCAACTTACACATTTCCACAAGTGCTCAACAATGTATCCGGAGATTGGCTGTGAGATGTTCTCGAACGACTATTCCAAGACTGCATCCACTATCTCCCTATCTATCCTGGTAGTCATTGAGATGTTCAACGCTATGAATGCACTTAGTTCTAGCGAGAGTCTACTTACCCTGCCATTGTGGAAGAACATGAAGCTTGTCTACGCCATTACCCTTAGCATGGTTTTGCACTTTGCGCTCTTGTACACCCCCGTCCTTCAAGGCCTGTTCTCGATTGTACCACTGAACTTGCACGAGTGGAAGGCTGTTGTGTATATTTCTCTTCCAGTCATGTAAGCCCCCCTCCCCCCTCCACCTTCCCCCTCTTTACGGAGTAAAACAGAGGCTAATTACGATAACAGCTTTATCGACGAAGTCCTCAAATTCGCCGAGCGAAGATTATACCTCCAGCAACCCACCAACAAGACCAAAAATGAGTAAACCTTACCGCAGCTTACTCACTTTGCGATCGTTAGCCCCCTCCCCCCAACATCATCCCTTCATTCCGTCATCGATTCTTAGCTTGTTCCCTTTTCTTCCTCTTTGCTATGGCTTTTTAGAAAAGAATCCTGCGTAGATTTTGATGTCTTTTCTTTGTAGATTTTTTATTTTATTTTATCCTTATTTCTTTTGTTTGGATGGATAGGATATAGTGGGCCTGGCCGGGTTTACGGGGGTGATAGGGGGAGGGAAGGGGAGCTGGGGAGAGTGTGAGGGTATATCATACCGAGCCTTGTTGGCTTTTTTTCGGGAACAAAAATAGGGAAGCAACTGTATACGATTGGGAAAATGTGTAAGCTAAGTTAAGGTGCCCAAAAAGGAGAAACGTAGAGAATGGAGGGAATACGGTGTACTTCTAGAGGCTATAGAACACTTATCGACCACTACTCTTGCTTGGATTTCTTATTTTGGAAAAACTTTCGTTATGACGCTTTGTGATTCAAGTGAGCGAAGAGCGAATGCCCTGAGCGGGGCGAAGGGCATCATATGTATTACTCTCGGAGATTAGGGAAGCCAAAGTTGCCAAAATCATCTCCCCCGAAAAGGCCCTACCCGACACAGCCAAGAACCCCGGGGCGGAACTTTTCGCTTTACGGCCCCCTCAAGTCCTTGGCGGTGGCTCCAGAGTGCAAGTGGCATACTACTACTTGCAGAGTACCATTGTACAAGTAGTGTAGAAAGTGTCACTCGGCACTACATCGCACCGGGAGCTATCATAGATAATTTACACGAATAGCAACCGTACGCAGGCACAAGCACAGAAGACCTCACGCCCAGGAGAAGGAAAAAAAAAAACCCCCCGATCCCATCGTCCAATACCCACGGGGAGGAAGAGTCCCCCGCGACCACTAGTTCTAGTTCACACCACCACCACCACCACCACTAGCAACCTCCCGGAGGGAGGGATGAAGCGTGCCATGATATAAAACATGTAATACGGTACAGTAATCCGTTGTTCCCAACTGCCCTGTCTGCAAGACCTCAGGTCACATTACCACCGGCCTACCGGTATCTCGAACTTTTTTTTTTTTCTTCCCCTTTTTCCCCTTTTTCCTTCAGCGCTCGTATGAGTCTTTGAACTGTTTATTGCCCGGATCATCGCGAGCACTGTTAGTATCTCAATCGCCGATATGGTATATCGTACATGTATACAAAACAGCTGCTAGATTAGCAGTGGGGAAAAAAGGTATTACAGAAAAAATGGTGCGAGTGATCGGTTGTGATAAGAAACTTCTCCTCTTGTTCATTTATTTATTTGTTCGTTTGTTCGTTTGTTTATGGTACGCTAATAGCCTTGCATCCCCACCCACTCACTTCCGGATGCGTAATTCCCCGCAAAGGTTTGAGTAAAATCCTTGGCAAATCATGAGTATCGTATGTGTAATTATGAATGAGTACTTTCTCATTCCCCTCATTGACTCACTTTATAAACACCCCCCCCAATTCCCCCGGGGCGTTTTATAATGAATGGGGTTAGGTGTGTGTGATGTGATGTGATGTGATAACGGCTTCGGCGAGAGATTCTGGCAGAATGTTGAGGTCTTCCGATGCTAGCTATTGTAAGTAAATATCCATACCTCATTCCAGCGCCCCCACCCCCTCTCGAGACAAAGTAGATACCAAGGGAGAGAGAGACGCCAAAGAATTCGCCCTTTGCCCTTATCAAAGCATGCTCTACATGATATGATATAGATGTGCAACAATGTGCTTATCGGGGCGATTTATTGATTGATTGATTGATCCCGTGCTGCTGTTATTTTGGCCATTGCACTGTCCAGTCAACCAGGTTCGTATGATGCCGGTATCCGGACTGAAACCGACGTAGGAAATAAATGCTTTGTCCTGCCCGCTAGCGCGTTCAGAGTATTGTTTTCGTTTGTTGTTTTTAACCCCCAGGGGTTAAAATTTAATAGTACTGTACTTTATAGTATGATACATACAATTAAACTGTTGGCTCAAAATTTGTTACTGGAGTGGGGACATTCTTAAGAGGAGGGAGAGGGAGAGGGAGAGAAATATGAACCACTTTTTTTTTGCACCGTTGGCGTCGGGCCCACTCTCTTGAGGTTTCATAGTGCGTGGTCGAGTTCCTGGCCACTGTCTGAGTTACAAGAGGTTGTCCATCCCAGGGGAAATCTGGTTATCTCCAGTCCATTCATGAGTTGTAGTGCGATATGTGATTCATGGGGCAAAAGCTTTTTGTTTGTTTTTTGCTGATTCAGGTGCAGGAGGAAGGAAGGAGGGTGAAGGGCTTGACGGATATCACTGAGGAAGATTGCGGAAAGAGTGGCAGTATCATACTACCGGTAATACTGTAAAATCTCTAGTATGATACTTGTAGTTTGAACCGTGTGCTGTGTCGTTGGGGTTGCCTCCTCGGGTAAGGTCTGGTGTTTTTTTCTATCCTTTGTAATTCCAGGAAGGGCCGGGCAGTTCCGTTTCCGCGGTGTTTTTTGCCCTTCTTCCAAAGCAGGGAATTCTAGACCACATAGCGCAAGGTCCAATTATTCGAGATTCTACGGTGTTACAATAATTTTTACCCCACACACCGGCATAATATTATGATATGATACAGTAATCTCGTCCAGGGAACTATGTCCAACCTCCGAGTGGGGCGCCGTGGATTGAATAGCCAGCCCCGGTTCGCTGTGGCTCGCCCCCCCCCCCCCAACAAAAAGTGTTCCGTGATTATGTCACCGAGTGAGTCCTCATGATCCATTCCCGAACGAATCACACTGAACATCTCCAATTGTCTACAGCACAACTGGCAGCACAAAACCTCACCGTAACGCTCGCGCTACAAGTGAATCCATTCACCAAGCGCGGTACCACAAGGAGGAATATTCATGATACATATCAAATGAGCGAGCGAAAACAAACATTCTCCCCTAAGCAAGAGTAAGAGAAAGTATAAAAAATAAAAATAAAAAAGAGAGAGAAAGAGCTATGCTACCGTACTACAGCGCCTCCCCTTTCCTCGGGGGGAGGGGTGAAAAAGAGCCAATGACAAAAAAAGAACAGGAAAAGGAAAGAGACAAGGAAAAAGCTCCAACCAAATAAATCCGTACCAGACCAAGGCCAGACCGTTCTTTCCGGGCCAACTTTCTCATGTCCTCATTAAGCCAGGCCAACCAGTATAGCACCAAAGTTTCCCTTTTTAGACGTTGGATGGGTGGGTGCATGGTTGGTTACATCAATCAATTCACCAATTAGTCATCCATAGGACGATCAGTAAGACTCACGCCCGCAGGTCTCTCCTCTTCAAAGCTTCCCCCCATAGTCAAAGAATCTTTTTTCGGCCCTCCAGCCGCACTTCTGACAAGATTAGCTCCCTTGCGCGGGAATCTGGTGCTGCCACCACCGGCTTGTGATTTCCTAGTCAGTGAATTCGACTTTTCTACTCCTGCAGTGGGAGTCGCGGGGGAGGACTCCTCGGACTCATGATGGGCGAAGGACTCCGGCTCACTAGAGACCTTCGGCGTTTCAACCTCACTATCGAGTTTCTGGTCTCGGTCGAGCGAGGAAGCGCCTCCAGGCACTTCAAGGGACGAAGGCCTGTACCTTGAGCCTCGGGGAGAGCCGCCAGTAGGCGAAGTTTGAATGGGAAATCGGTTCCCGCCGTCGGTAGATGCGTCTCTCCTGTGGCGAGAACCCGGAGCGGGGCTGGAGGGCCGGGAGCGCGCCGCGCCGATCACTGCGCGGTTACGAGCTTCCATGAGCGCCCGGCGTTGGGATTCGTCTGTTGAGACGGCTCGGGCACGACCAGAGTTGAGGGTCGAGGCCCGTTTGAGTTCTCCAAAGATTTGCTCCTTGTGGGCGAATAGGTCGCGAACGAGGCGGTAAGCGTGGCGCTCGTGTTGGGTGAGGGACGATTCCACACGTGGGCGAAGGATGCAGCTTGACAAGTCCTGAGCCAAGGCAGTAACATAGGCATCGTCCGCAGATGTAAGCTCGATGAGACGGGTAAAGTGAGTAGTAATGGCGTCGAGAGTGGCAATGTTTGTCAACGGCAGGCTCCCAAGAGTATTTTGAATCACCGCAAGTCGCTGCTTCTCCTCTCCTTCGGCTCCGTGTGTGGTGTAAACCGTTTTGATGATTTCGTACTTTTGTGAAGAAACGAGAGAGTCTGCCAAGGGTCAGCAAAAGTAATTCAACACTAAGAGCAGATATCCGAACCAGGCAATTCGAGGAGGTAGAGCTTCAGAGCACTCGCGACGATAGGGATCTCATAGGTTGCAAGCGCCTCCTTGGGGATCGTTTTGCCAGTATTGATAACATTTCGGAGGTGGTGAGTGGCGGCAAGTGGAACATCGACAAGCCAAATACCCCTTCGCGCCTCGTCGCCCTCAAGATCGGGATAATCTACATCATACAAAAATGTTAGAAATTAATCAATCAAACCTTATCCTATAAGTGGCTTACGGTGATCCAGGTAGGTAAGAACCGACGTGATGATGATCGGTACACGCTTACGATCCGCTCTAGCCCGAGCTTCAAGATCCACACCAAATGTTTGTTCTAGATTCCACCGTAAGTAACTGCAACGGCGCATAGCCCTCTTCAGAAGACCCACCATCCACAGAATTGTAATAGCTCTCATAGGTTACCACTTTCGGCGCATATGAACCGGTCCTATAGGACTCAAGCATGTAACGCAAGTCCCCGAGGGGTTGGATAGTCTCCTGGTAGAGGAGCATGTTGTCTACGGTAGCTTGAATGCTCGGGATGACATTCGAGATTGCCCCCGAAAGGTCCAAAATGACTATTTCTCGAGTCAGCACCAGCAGCTTATCGAGAAATTTCCTGTCGTGATTATCTCGGCTACCCTACCCGCTTTAATGGCCTTTAGACGATCCAACTCGCACCTCTCCATAAACTTCAAGTGCTCCACCATGCTCTCCTCCAGGGCACACCTCATCAAATCCAGCTTCTTCACGCCACCCTTGTACCGCTCATCGGCCTCGCTTGCCTCTCTCCTCAGCCTGTCGCCGGGAGTCTCGCCCGGGTGTTGGTTTGTGAGTAAACCTCCCAAATAATCACCAACGTAGGCCATTGTTGGACTCTCGATAGTATCCCCATTCTCCAAGGCCTTGGCTGGCTTCTGCGCTGGCTTCTCCGGCTTTCCGGTAAGTTGGAAAGTCTTTGGGCGCCATTGGTAGTGAAGTTTGGAACTGTTTGCAAAGGTATTCCCAACGGTTCCAACAAGTCTCAAAAACCCGTGGGTGACCAAGTCCTGTCCAATGCGTTCGGCGTGGGAGATCGAAGTAGCCCCAAGGTTCTCCTGGATGAATTTGACGATGTTTTCTCCGGTGGAAACGTTCTGGTAGGTTCCCAAGATAGCAACCTTAACTTCCCCTAAGGGGATAGTTTCCAACATATGTGCCAACATCTTCTTCACCTCAGCTGGCTGGTAGAACAAGTCGCCAATTTCCAACGGCTCCTCCTCTTCTGGATCATCAGGTTCTGGTAATTTGATTGCAGGGGCGGCAGTAGCAACTGCCGCTAGTGCTGTTGGAGGAGCTGTTGCAGAGGACGGGGTTCCCGGAGCTGGCACTTGGATAAATTTAGTCTCTTCCTCCAAGTCCTCAACAAGGCGACACTTGTTGAAATAATGGGACCGAAGCTTTTTCACGGCTTCTGCCTGTTTATCGTGGCTCTTGATTTGGCCCTGTAAATCATCGTGAGAATTTATGATGCGTTCCTCATGGGCTTCGCACCACTTGGAGAAAGGGCTGATGACGAGTTGGCGAATATTATCTGCAACTTTGCGGTGATTTTTTCCGGCCTGATGAAGAACCGATAAGCTTCATCCGGAGCAGATAAGGTAATGTTAACTCACATCATCCATTTCCTTCTTCAACCCGTCAAATGCCTAAGACAACCCCACCACATTCGTCAGCACCTAGTCCACCCTCCTATCGCAAGCAACGAACGCAGAATCAAATAAATCCGAACAATACCTTTCGCACACTAGCACCATCATCCCGGCCGAATCCACCCGGCTTCTCGGCTCCTGCAGGAATAGTGGCAAGCCTTTGCCCATAAGCATCCTCCGCATCAGCCCGTAACTTGGAGATTTGCAAAATTTGCTGGTTCTCTATTACACCCTGTTGAAGTTTTCCGAAAAGAACCCCAAGACCTATGTCACTCAAGGTCAGCACATCCGAAGAGGGCGCGATGCCTTCAAGGGGGAAGGGTGATCTGGAGGGGAGGAAGAGAGGGGCAGATTTTGACAAAAGGACCATCCAACTAACCACCAGCGTAGTCGCCCGACCAAAAGGAATCCGCAAAACCAGGCATGTTGTAAACGTATAGAAAAGAGAAATAGAAAAGCTAATGGGTTAACCAGCGCAGCAACAGCTTCCTAGAAGTAGTATCGGTGCTGCAGCTCCGTTTAGTTAAGATGTATTCCGTAGGTGATGTGGTGTAATCGTCTATGGAGTAACTCAAGGGGGTAGGGGAGACTGGGTGGTAGATGAAGGAGTTGTCGCGACAGTCGGTGTGAATGCGATGATTGGTGTTCAAAGGGAGTTTTCAGCCTCTCCTTCTCGTAGCCCCCTGAAGTAGTTCGGGGTGTGTACTCGGGTACCTCGAAAACACACAGTAAGCAGGAGCAGGAAGCGAGTCGACGACCTCTGACAGACTGAGATGGTGGGGTGATGAATTTCTGCGGTCCGTGATCAAAAATAGTGTGAGGGTAAAAAACGAGGTGTTTGCACGAAAAGGACAGTGGAGATCAAAATGAACGGAAGGATGGTTGAGCCTCGAGCGAGATAGAATGTAGCAGAGTATGGTTCACAGGATGAAGAAAGGGAAATGTATGGCGGAAAGAGGCTCGGATTCCTTTCATTCGATCTGGCAGCGAGAAGCACTTTGGGCGGGGGAAAAGCAAAAGCTGAGCGAGGGCTGACAGGAGAAATCACCATCATATCGTACCGCTATTGCACCGTACCGTACAGTACTTACATGACCGTACAAGCAGACCCAGAAACTTAGCAAATCATAACAGGCACCGCTCGGGTAAAGCATGTCTCACACAATTCAGCCAGATCCGTTGAGTGAAAGCGAGAACAGCATCAAGAACTGAAATCCACACACCCACGGGATGTCCCCCGCCCACAGAGAGGCAGTGGCTGATGCCTCTCTCCATGGCTACCGTACATTACCGGTACCCTGTGCAGTAAATTTACCGTACAGTATCTGCACGGACTATTGACAGCCTTAAGGAAATTCCGTCCCGATCACCGGTGCACCGCACTTACCGTACAGTAGACCGTGAACTCCACCTGCACAAGAGCACTCTACCACGGGCCTATAAAACTCATGTTTACCACCGGTTGGCCAAACCTACGAGCAGTAGACATGTACTCGTGGACGGCCGAATGTACCCGAGTAAGCTACTACGGTAGTGAGAGCATGATAATCTATAGAGGAATTCAATAAACGGACATCAAGCTCTGGAGTAGCTTGAGCACAGCAGCCCCTTCCGTCTGGTATTTGATTGTCCATACTGTTATCCCTCGGTTATCAGCTTAATAGGGGACATATCACACCAAAGAAAGCCCTACGAAAGACACATCCCCATCAGACAAAGCCCACAAACACAAGCAACGGGGACTCCAATATACTCCCCCTCTCCCCAGCCACGATGGATCCCTCCTCCTCCTCCTCCTCCTCCTCCTCCTCCTCCTCCTCCTCCTGTCCAGCCTAAGCACACGCGACTGAGCCTCGTGCCATGGATTATGTCAGATGAGAGCTGTCAGCCGGTAAAAGTCAATCATACAATGACCCAATAAATTATCCCCGTCCAAAAATGCAAATTATCGCACTCGAGTAAATTCACCAATGGCCTCCACGGAAGAAACTCTCCAATCTGACGGAAATAAAGACTTTACGTTGAGCTTGCCAACCCACAAAGAGGGTGGAAGATATCCGAACCCAAATCATGGCTCAAGAGGAGTTCCGTCGAGCGATGTTTTCCCCAAACTATCACTCCTCAGCTTGCCAAACCCAGAGCTGGACTACCGTACCGTAAATGTATCAACCGCAGCAGCAGCACTGGTCGTTTCCCCCCCTGCATACAGTATCATACCGGTACTGTAACACCAACCTGACCGGTCTGATACCGGTAGATTGACCGCCACCACCAACCAAAGCCACCCCCGGTTAAATTATTCCGAACAAAAAAAGAGAAAAGAAAAGGAAAAAAAGAGCAAGAGGAGGAATCCACCCAGTCGTGTGCATGTGTATTATTCGTGCCGAGCGAAATAGACTCAGTCCCGGTACCGGTGCTGGAACTCCCGTGCCAAGTTTTACCGAACATATGACTTTGTCGTCACCGCTTGCCCAGGCTACCAGGCTATCGCCCCTTGTGGCTGGCGCCCGAGTCTGCGACAGAACGTACCGTACTCGTACCGTACTCCGTAAGAGAAAGGAAGGAAGGGGAAAAAAAACAAAAAAAGATGGGGCTTCAGCTGAGCCCACCCCCGCCTTGGTGGAAGACTGAAGGTTGGATAGTCTACGGGCGCAGCAACTCTGCTTGTCGATTCAAAAGTGTCCGGAAATGTCGGCACGGTCTACCGGCAGGCCGAGGAAACGCCAACATTTCCGGATGCCTTTGGGACCGGCAAGTACTCGAGTATCATACTCGAGCAGTGAGCGTGGTCTATGGCGGCGGCATGGTTGGTCCCTCGGAAACCGGTTCCGGTTGATTAAGAGAAAATGGACCCGTTCCCAGACTGATCTTGGAAGCTTGGCGGGGGGATAAGGGAGGACTTACACGAGTACCGGTACCGGTAGGGGGGATCTATTACCCGTACTGGTACAATGCTCTGAGAGTGGTCACAGCCATCGATACTCGCTTGGTTTGGCCGTCCCCCGCAACGGCGGGGGCACCAAAAGCGACCCCTGCGAATATCATACCAAGTGAGCGCTCGGAATCTTGGCTTTAGCCCGTTGAGTCTTATCATTGCGAATGACTGGATGCCGGTACTGCTACCGGTATGGATACGCCTTCGCTGCGGTACAAATGTTCGGGGATACGGTACTGGCTCAGGGGAGCCAAATAACACCGATAGGATAGGATAGGTCGATCCACGTCTATTCGGAATATCAGACGATACGTCTATGCCCCTATGCGAGGATACCGCGAACCCGTGGTGCTTATTGGACCCTCAACACAACTACCGGCACTCACTGTGTATTCACAAAGTATCACTCGGATGCATAATGGTGTTTCAGGCTCAATGGTGGGGCTTTGTTAGGCATAACATCGCATTTTATAAGTACACTAAGCAGGACTGCCGGCGATGTGCAGATGACCCCACCGATGGTCAGAATTTTAGAAATCGCTTCTGCCCCCCGAGGCCCAATCAGTAGGCAGATTGTACCGTATCGTACATGGGCAGTTTCGCGAGGAACCTTTTTTTCTCCCCCCCCCAAAAAAAAAAGATAGACGGAAAACTGGTGGAAATAAGAGAGAAAGATAGGGAGACAATAGGGTGCTCCTCCGCATGCATACCTTTTTGAGGGGGAAAACAAAAGTGCCATGTTGGGCTTGCATACCGGTATTTTTATAAAAAATCTAATGGAATGAGTTTTTGCGAGTTTGTGCACTCCCTTGCCTACAAGTCATTGGTCCTGCAATCCCAGGCTTAACTAGCGCTCATGGCTCGAGCATCAACTTTGCCCGAGGAGGAGGAATGCCGATCCCAGATCACCTTGAAAGGCGGTTTCCCTGAGCATTCGATATCCGATCTCTTCAAATGGGAGCATGATCCCATTCATCCCGTTATAGTGATTTGCTGGTACGGTATCTTTCGGACAGAGGGGGGAGCGGTTTCGGTGATTTGTTTGACGATAACCCGTTTGTCATGATCATGCAATGAGGAGGAGTATAAAAGTTGGAGCCTTGTGGGGCCCCATTGAAAGTGCTTTTTTTCTTTTCATCCGGCTATTTCTCATTCATTCGTTTCTTTTCTTTTCTGCTTCCTCTTAGGGGTGGGGATGGATTACCGGTATCCGTGTGCGACTGAACTATGTGTGACTCATGAGTTCAGCTTTCACTGTAGGGAGGTTGGGGTTGCCATCATCATGAAAGGCGTCTAAAGAGAGTTCTGAGCGTATCAGCTATCGCAGCAGATGTGGTATCGGGCGGGGTCCGAGTATGGTACAGTACGGCACTGCCGGTATGGTGGCAGGAGGAGTTGGGTCGAAGTTTGATGGCGAATACCGTATGTATCACACTGATGGGAGTGGCATGGTCTGTACCGCACGAGCAGCGTACGAGCACCGGTACGGTACTCGTTCCCATGCTATCAGGCCTGGCTTAGGGCCGGTCAGGTGGTGGGGGTGAGCTGTGTTATGATGGTACAGTAGTTTTTTTTTTTTTTTTTGCGTGACCTATTCTCTTGCTCGAGCACCGGTAGCGTGTCATGCTAGAGGTGCTAGACGTCACTCGCCCGCCGCCTTCTGGGCTCTCGAGAGGGGCATGAGAAGGCTACCATCTCGTGCCTAGAAGATCTCCCATGGGATCGCGGCGGAGCGGTTGCTATTTTGTGACACTCGAGTACAAGCATTGCCGTATGGTGCTAGGCTCTGGTGGCCCTGGATGCCCCTGGCTCTCAACGATCTTCTGAACACAGAATTAGACTAGTGGCGGCGGGCGGAGAGTGTGACAAGACTCACGCTTCCCGCACCAAGGCCAGAGAGAGAGGGGAGCAACCCATTTGGAAATACTGTTACCGGTATTGTAGACCCTTCTTCCCTCTTACTGTACGGTACCGGGTCCGGGCAGGGAGAGTCCGTCCTTGCCTTTTGCCTAGTTTTCGTCTCGTTTGTACGGTACGGTAGTCTTGTCACTTATCATTCGGTGGGAGAGTTGAAAAATCACCTTTGGGCTCCCTTCTCTACCCCCCACCCCTTCTTGCCCCGTTTCTGCTCCACATCCGCCCCAGAGGAGAGAAAGGGAGAAAGAAAGAAGAAAGAAAAAAGTCGCTTCTTCGCGGTGAGGCTGCAAGTGATAAACGGTGTGGTCAGCCATCCGAGGACCGGCCCACGCTGCCCCAATCCGCAACTCCAAGCTCCAAACCCTATCCTCTCTCGCTTCTATCATACCTAATTATCCACTTCTCCTCCCTCCACTCCTTTCTTCCAAGACCCAAACTTGCGAGCCCTCCGACATCACCGAGATCTCTTCCGCGCTGCCCTTTTTACCAGGCAATCACCCATATCGCTGGAGGTTGATACCTTCCATCATTATCCTTTACGCTACCGTGCTTAACGCGTCTGGGCGCTTCTGGCCACTGCTATATCTCCGAGCAAACCTCAATTGACCTGTATGTATCCGACAAAGCTATCCCTCCCGGGTTTCTCCCGAGTTTCTCCCTCAGCACCCCTATCTATTGTGCACCGCTCTGTTCCTCTGACCCAACGAAATTTAGTTTCTCGCGATAATGACTCCCCGTGCTGAGAGTGGCGCAGCGCGCAAGCGCAGCCAGGTAGATATTCCCTTCAATTCTCATCCCTATCCCCAACCCTTTGCGGAGCACAGAGATCAAATCTAACGGAAATTAATCTGTCTCGTGTAGCCGTCATCCCCGGCCTCTGATAAAAATTCGCCCAAGAAAGTCAAGCGCCAGTCTGATGGCGATGTTGACGAAGTCGATGCTATAGTCGAGGATATGGAGCCGGAGCCTCAGGAACTTCCGGATTCTCCACTGAAACCTCAAGGAGATGTTACGATCACTCGCACTCCAGCATCCTCCCCTCCTCCCCAGGACACACAGGTAGCTTCGCAGTTTTACTATCCACCGCTTGCTGAGCAAGGAGTCGACGAAGACGACGAAACCATCTGGGGATACCTTTGGCCGTTGACGCAGAAAAATCAGAGTGTCATCAAGCTCAATAAGACACCCCAGGTTTCTACCCCAAATAGGGAATCCCCGAAAAGCGCGGAAAAGAAGAAACCTAAAAATAATAAGAAACATGGAGCCGGCGGATTCGTGATTGGACGCCATGTCGAGTGTGACTTGGTCATTGACCATAACGTTATCTCAAATAGACATTGTGTGATATACAAGGTAGCATATTGTCCTCCCGTACCCCTGGGACGCCTATACGGAACACGAATGACGGCTAACCATGTGCTGTGCTTGGGCAGGAGAATGCTGGTTCGCAACCTGTTGCGGTTCTCGAGGATTTATCTAGTAATGGCACCTGGGTCGCCGGTGTTATAATTGGTCGTAACCGCAGTCGTACCCTGGAGAACGGTGATGAAATCGAGTTCCCGGGCGGATTTCAGTACACTTTCAGATACCCGCCTCACATGCAATCGAGCGATTTCCGCAACGCTTACGATCTTGGCCAGCAGCTTGGTTCCGGTCATTTCGCTACTGTTCATCTCGCTGTTGAGAAGAAGTCGGGACAGGAGTTTGCCGTAAAGATCTTCAGGAAACGCCGTAATGAGGATAAGAGCAAGACTTCTGGGTTGCAGCAAGAGATTGCCGTATTGATGTCTGTTAACCACCCCAACATATTGTGTCTTCAGGGCACTTATGACGAGGATGACGGTGTCTATCTTGTTCTGGAATTGGCTCGTGAGGGGGAGTTGTTCAACTATATTATCCGCAACACCAAACTTTCGGAGGTGGATACTCGCAAGGTTTTTGTTCAGCTGTTCAATGGCCTGAAATATCTGGTTTGCTCAACCCTGTAGATCGGATCGTATCTGTTGGAATCCTTGCTGACCTTGAAGGACATAGCATGAACGCAATATTGTTCATCGCGACATCAAGCCGGAAAACATTTTGCTTTGTGACACCGATCTTACGGTTAAATTGGCGGATTTTGGCCTTGCCAAGATTATAGGCGAAGATTCGTTCACCACCTCACTGTATGCACTGGTTTCTTTTCCTCGCTGTGTTGTCAGGCTGTGGCTTAGCTAACTTGGGTTTGAATATAGCTGCGGAACACCTAGCTGTAAGTCTTTTAATGCTATTGTCTGTGGGTGGGGACTGACAAGTTTAGATGTGGCACCGGAAATCCTAGAACCCTCTCGTAACAGGAAGTACACCAGGGCTGTTGATATGTGGTCCCTCGGGGTTGTCCTTTACATTTGTCTATGCGGGTTTCCACCGTTCAGTGACGAGCTGTACACGCAAGATGCCCCGTATAACCTATCACAACAGGTTTGCTGCACTTCTCATTCTCTTACGCTTCGCTGTTTACCATTGTGTCTAACACGCCCGAAAAGATTAGAGAAGCTAGATACGATTTTCCATCCCCCTACTGGGATGATATTGCGGACCCTGCACTCTACTTGATTGAATCCATGCTTGAAGTAAACCCGAACAAGCGGATCACTGTCGACATGGCGTTAAAACATGCCTGGACTGTTGAAGGCACTTTTAACCCGGCGGAATCGTGTGACTCTCTGGTTGGAGCTCTCGAGACGATGGGACTTAGGAGGAGCGTCGGTCGTGAGCGCACGCTGTTGGCAGAGCATCCGGAAATCAGACCGACTAGGGCTGTTGAGGCGGCTGCCATTGCGTCGCCCGTTACATCACCTTCGGTGGTCCCTGAGTCCGAGGGCGGAGTGGAGGAGGCTATGACCAGAGAAACAGAGGTACGGGAAGGAAACCCTTCTGATATACCGGCCGTCATGACCGCTTTTATGCATGTTGGGGGGCGAGGTGGTGATGAAACTTTGTACCCTGACGATTCGTTTGCCGAGAGCGTTTAGGTTTGATTAGTTGGCCAGAGGGGAGTGGTTTGTGCGAGCGCAAATCTTTGTATCTTGTCCAGAGCCACATGGGCCCGCCTTATTCTTTTGCGCGCTTCTCCAAGCAGATTACTCTTAGGTTACTCCAGAGCTAAAAGGGGGCTGGTTAGTGATTTCTCTTCTTCTGGCGGACCTTAGTGGCACTTGCAAGGGAAGGACGGGCGAATATTCAGGTGGTATCTTTTCAGTCTTTTCTTCTTTTTTTTTCTTCCGGGATTTCCTTTCCATACCATAAAAACTGTCCCTTCTCCTTTCTCTACATAAGCGAGGTTTAAATATCTGGGGCTTATCTTCGTTTTCCCTTAACAAAAAATTATTTTCACTGGGTCTCAGTTTAAAGGGTGGCGAGCATTACTATTATTATTACTGATTTCGACTCTTGATTGGGTGGTGATGGTGGTGGGGTTAGTGATGTCGAGTTTTGTTTCTTCTGAGGGTCAATGTAACCATAATTTTCATTTTTCCTTGTGAATTACCTTTCCGCACTGCTATGGTAAAGCTTGTGAGCTTTTATTTTTTATTTTTTTCTCCAAAAAAAAAAAAAAAGAACACCGGTAATAGCGACGTCTCTTTGGCCCGATTGGTTGTACTGTATGATACTTGATGCGTATGGTGAACTTTTGGGTAGTCTAACGATTGTGAATGTCGACTGACCGCCCGGACCACGGCGAGGGGGTTTCCCTATTCGTGGCCGTGGATAAAATGGGAGGGCAAAGGGAGAGAGAGAGGGTTGCTTGTTTAATGAACATTTACATCAGGTTCTGCCATTGCCCGGGTGGGGGGGTGCATGGTGGCCTGATGGTGATTTCCCGGGAGGGGAAGAGGGGGATTGGTTGGACAGCAACTTTGTAGCATCTGCCCAGCTCTCGTGATAATGGCAACCTGCATTACGGGCACCGTTCTGTACCCACGGGTAATGGTACTTTGGGGAACCTAAGAGTGTACCGATATTTATGATATGATAGGACCATAATGTTTAGAGTTGTTGGCGCTCGGGAGTGGGTGCTCGACGCAAAGCCATGCATGCATGCATGCATACCCCATGTCCCCGGCCGGCACAGCAACAACCGAATGCCAGAGAGTAGGTCAATAGTCTACGAGTAATGATGCTATCATAATAATATAATAGTAGTCTACCCGTACGAGTACGGTACCCGTGGCAGGATCAACCAAGGGCGCAATTTGGCAGAATTCAATTGTCGAGAACGGGCGAACCGCGGTTTCTGCAGACATCCCCGTATGGGCGTATTGTAATACGGTAGTAAGATCACCGCTTTTGCTCGCTCCGGGATCGGGGGCCTCGTTTCTATGGTAATATTATTGTAAAGAGAGAAAGAGAGGGGCAAATACGGTGTGGTGAATTATGCCGGAAATGCTACGGCTCGGGGTGCACGCATGTCTTTGTATGGTACAGGTACCGTAGAATAAAGGCTCTTTTCTTTTCTTTCACGTGTTTTTCCTGGGGACTGCGGTGGTAGTGCCGGGCTATTATGGGAATATTGATATGGAAGCCTGTGTTCCCTGGCATATGTACTCGAGTATCGCTATCCTCTTCGCCGAGTGCCAATAGCGCCAACCGGTGGGGGTGCTGTACGGTATACCGGTATGGGAAGAGAGTTTTGACCACGAGTACAGGACATCGTGGATGCGGGCGGGAATCTCCATAGAACGTGGTGGGTCAAGTTAGTTACAGGGGCGTCGTGGATGGGGGCGAGGGCGAGGACGAGGGCGAGTACGATATCGTTGAAACCACTATTATTGGAGGAAGAGCCGTACCCAACCGTATTCGTAACAGACCGTACCCGTATGGTAACTCCTGGCAATGCAATACGATACGAATACGCGCGTTGGAAGGGAGATGTCGACGAGTAATTCCCTCCCAGGAGCAGATTCCTAAAGGAATAATTAGGCTCAGGGCAATCAGACGATCAAGCTGGACGATGGTTACGCCGTTTTGTGCCAAGAACCCTAGCCGGATTGCTGGGACTCCCCTTTCTGTCCTGGGTGCTTCTGAGCCCCATGACAATCTTGTTATCCCCTTTTCTATTTTCTCTTCCTCCCCTTCCCTTCCCACCTCATCTCCTCTCTCTGCCTTTCCTTTCCTTTCCTTTTATTCCCTCATCTCCCTTCCTCTACCCGTCCCTTCAATTCCTGCCGGCTCGACTCTGTTCTTTCACCCTGTTTGTTCTTGATTGCCTCTATCAAACTTCAACGCCTGTTTGACTTGTTTGCTCGATCCAACGCTTGAATTTGATACGACAGGAACCGCGGAGATGGGTGTCTTGTCGACTCTGTTGGTCCCCATGGGGCCGTTCTATGAGCAGCTTGTGAAGCTTGGAGGACCCGCATTGTGTGCAATTGGGTTCGTTGCCTTTGTTTTGCTGTCCGTCATTATCAATGTTCTTCAACAGCTACTTTTTAAGGACCCTGTCAAACCTCCGGTGGTCTTCCATTACTTCCCGTTTTTCGGGAGCACGGTGATGTACGGAATGGATCCTTACAAGTTCTTTTCCGACTGTCAGGAGAAGGTTCGTTTTCTAGGATTTATATGCTAATTGCGGTGTGAGGCTAATGTTTGCTTAGTACGGAGAGGTCTTCACCTTTGTCATGTTGGGAAGGAATATGACAGCGGCATTGGGCCCCAAGGGGAATGACTTCGTGTTTAATGGAAAGCTTTCGGAGGTTAGCGCAGAAGATGCCTATGCGCATTTGACCGTTCCTGTCTTCGGCGAGGGTGTTGTTTACGATGTTCCCAACCATGTTCTCATGGAACAGAAGAAGGTTTGTCATGCTCTCTCCGCTAACACCGGGAGCTCTGCTAATAAGTTTTTTTGTTTCTAGTTCATGAAATTCGGTCTTACCACCGAGAACTTCCGTTCCTATGTTCCTCTTATTGTCGACCAGGTTGAGGATTACATCAAGAAGTCCAAATTCTTCAAAGGCGCAAAGGGTTCTGTTCCTCTTTCGGAGATTATTCCCGAACTCACCATCTTTACCGCCGCGCGTACACTCCAGGGCAAAGAGATTCGTGATGCTCTGGATGGCTCTTTTGCCAAATTGTACCACCACTTGGATTCCGGCTTCACCCCCATGAACTTTTTGTTCCCATGGTTTCCCTTCCCGCAAAACAATCGTAGGGACCATGCTCAGCGCACCATGGCTCAGTTCTATATGGACAAGATTGAGAAGAGGCGGGCGAATGAGAAGCATGATGATGACCAGGAGCGTTCGGACATGATGTGGAACCTTATGAACCGTTCCTATAAGGATGGGCGTAAAGTACCCGATAAGGAGGTTGCTCATATGATGATTGCTCTTGTAAGTTTTATCGTGCGTCGTGACGTTTTCAAGCTTCTTACATTTTCGCTTAACATAGCTCATGGCTGGGCAACACACCTCAATGGCAACCATTACATGGATGTTGCTCCATGTTGCTGCTCAACCGAAGCTTGTCGCCCAGATTCTGGCAGAGCAGAAGCGTGTATTTGGTGACGAACTCGCTCCTCTGTCGTATGAGAAGCTGGTCCTCGAATGCACCTTCCTTGGCCAAATCATCCGCGAAACTCTCAGAATGCATCCTCCGCTTCATTCAATTCTCCGAAAAGTCAAATCTCCTATGCACGTCGACGGTACCAACTGGGTTATCCCTAAGGGTCATTACCTGCTCGCTGCCCCGGGCGTTTCTTCCATGGACCAGAAATACTTCAAGGATCCTAACAGCTTTAACCCTAGCCGCTGGGATGGTCAGAAGGCTGAAGAAGAGACTGAGAAGTTTGATTTCGGATTTGGTCTTATCTCTAAGGGCGCCGCATCCCCTTACCTCCCGTTCGGTGCTGGCCGTCATAGGTGCATTGGTGAACAGTTTGCGAACGTTCAGTTGATGACTATCATGGCGACTTTCGTTCGTAACTTTGATATGCAGAGGCCCGGCGGTGGCAGCGATGTTCCTGCTCCTGATTACTCTGTTTGTTCTCCTACTGCCCTTTGGGTCTTTGTGCAATTGCTAATGATGGAATCACAGTCTATGATCGCTCTCCCGACTCCCCCGTGCACCATCGAGTGGGTCAGGCGTGATCCTTAGCTTGATTGTTGGTTTGATGGGAGATGGAAGGGCGGAAATACAGACGGATGTGGAGTTGTAATGGGAGTTTGCTTTTACCCTCCCTTTTTGTTTTTTCCTTGACGCTCTAAACGAAAATTTAATCGCTTTTTCTCTATATATTTCTTTTCACGTGTACAAACCTGGATATCGGTATTAATTTTGCTAGTTTCGTGATGATGGTGATGCTTTTTTTTATTTTTAGGGGAGGATTGTTTTGATTTCTATTAATTTTTTTTCTTTCCTTTTTTTTCTTTAGATATGCTTTGGGAACTACCAGAGACTATGTTTGTCATGATTGGCTTGCCTTGCAGAGAGAAGAGCCGGGGTTTGGGGTTGGATACAAGTAATTTGATCGACACATGATACGATTGCTTGCGCTGTGCTGTGATTAGGAGTGGCGGCGGCAATGACAATGATCAGATAGCAAAGTTGGGTCAGAATGTTGGGGGATACAGCAAGCTTTGTTGCATGGTGACTTTTTGTTTAGCACATGGCACTAGGGTAGAAAAGTGGTCGAGTGCTTTTCCGTGAATTGGGGATCCAAACTATACCGTAATTCGCTCCACTGTCGCGACCTCAATCGGGGCAATAGGACTGAAATGATGACCGAGTAATTAATATTTACTACGCTAACAAGCTCTGATATCAAACGCCCTTCAACGATGACAGCTCAACACCTGGACAAGAAAGAAAAAGAAAAAAAGAAAAAAAAACCAAGCGAGTGGAGTACGACAATTACTCGCCCAGTTCAGGAGAGAAGGGAAGGGGAAAATCGCAAACAGGTATAGTTAAAAACGCACATGAATCTATGACGCCCCACCCCTTCATCAGTAGTAGTGTGCATGACGCGGCGGGCACTGTGCTAATGTCCAAATTCAACCCTGGGCACCACCACCGGTCCATATTTGGCGGTGTTAGAGTACACTCCCTCGCCCTGGACAATGAAATCTACCGCGAGGCTCAGGCTTCCGCCCTGCGCACTTGTGGCGCCAACGGGGCTGCCCGCGGCGGATTGCGGGTCAAAAGCGCAGAAAATGGCGTAGTTCCTTCTAGCCATTAGCTTTTTCAGTTCCCGGAATTGGCCGTTAACATCGGTCTGGAAGATCTCTAGCATGTCCTCTTTGGTGTCTGAGGGTGCGCCGGTGCTTCGCATGCCGTTTTGGGGGACGTAGAGGGGTTTGTTGTTGTGCAGGATTTTTAGCACCACGTTTGGCAGGGGGGAATTTACTATTCCTGAGGCGATTATCTGGTACCTGCGTAGGGGGTTAGTTACTGAGAGGGAGGAGGAAGGGGGAGAGAAGGGAGTGGAATCATGCATTGTTTTGTGGTCTTGAGGTTTTGTCGGGTCGTGGACTAGGCCGGCGCCGCAGCAGTGGACGTCTATTTTATGTTAGGATATTGAGAGGGTACGTGGAGATGGATAGAGGGCTCACCTCCGCTCAGGAATGTCATTCGTAAGCCCCTGCTATGGGAGATCCCTTGGAGAGTTCTGATGAGGTAGGTTCTCTCGAGATCCTGTAATAAACCGTTAGCACCGCCTGTTACTCACGTAGTGTGAAAATGCAGCACTCCCATACCTTCGACTCATGTGTCCAATGATCCCTCAAATCATCCAAGAGATCGACCTCCCCAAAAACGCTAACAACAGAGCTCATCAATCCACTCTTTCCAAAGGCCTTCTTAACGCTCTGAAATCCGCTCCCCACAACCTCCTTCCCACCCACAATCCCTGCCGCCGACCCCACAACCTTCCCGAGCAGATTATACGTCCCCGTGACAGCCTTTTTCCCCGTCGCTACGGTGTTGACGACGGATTCCGCGGTATCCAGACGTGGGTATATTACCGGTACCGAGACCATTAGTATGCAGTGCTGGACCGAGGGTGGCAGTGTAGCTATTCGCGGGAAGATCCCTTGGTAAGTTGGCCCGGCCATGACTTGTTGGGGATTTCGCTCTGAACGGCAGTCGATGCCAACGACAGCGATGGCGGGCCCGAGGTATTTGACAAAGTGCCAGCCGGTGCCGGTCACTGTGAAGAGGTCTCGGTCGTCGGGGGAAGCGTTAAGGATGTCTAAGGTTGTGTGGTGCTGGAAGAGTAGATACCAGTGCACGGCCACACGACCGATGTTTTTGAACATTGACGAGAATTGCATGTATTCCGGGTATGAGCCAAACCCGTCAAATCTATATCGTAAGGGGTCAGAATTACGTGTTACGTCACTAGGGGCGAAGGATGCTATACATATCATGATCGTCAATCTGGCACAAATGCGGTATCTGAGCCCATGCCTCCTTCAAGTGTGGCTGGTCGAAGTGCGCTGAATAGTAATGGAAATAGGCATGCGTGACTTCCTCTTCGTGTGCGGCAGTCCAAGGTGCTGCCTTCCTGTTTTCTTTCCCTTTGATCTCGAGCCATTCCTGGACATAACTTTTTAGATTGTCAGGTTATCAATGGGGTATGTCGCGCAAACCTTTAGCAGCGGGATCTCTCTCCATAACCTATCCGCGTAGATCTGATCGCCCCCTGGCAGTTGAGCATGGAATCCTCCAGTTTCGATATGTTTCTGCATGACATCCTTCCACATAAACCCAACACCTCCTAACTTTGTCCGTTCCTCAGCCTTTACACTCAATGAAAAGTCATTACAACTGTGCGCAATAAATCTCCAGTTACGCTCGGCCCTTCCAGCGACGAGGAACTCATATCTCGTGCATCCTAAGTGTGAGGTTATGGCATAAGTCCATTTGGCCCCCACATCTGCCATTTGGATATCGATATCATATCGATAGAAGGTGTATGTCTTATGGGTGTGTATAGGATTGGCCTTCAGTTGACGAGGATTTGGTGAGAGGTCTACGCTTTGGTGAAGATGTACAGTTGGAGGCTGTGGGTTTGCTGTGATGATCATGATCGACCCTAGCCATATTCCACGCTCAATATCCATGTTAGTATACCGCAGGTACGGCCCGAAATACTCGCCATTCGCAGGCGCGACGTTGTATAATGCGATCCCAGCCAACGGTAACTGTGGGACAGGCGGCTGTATAGGGAAGCTATTACTGTGAACTAAAGGAGGAGGTGATGTTATCCCACTCATACTTGGATCGGTAAATGTCATAGGAGGAGCAAACCCCGGTGAAGCTAAGGGCGCAATGTTAGAATAGGCAGACGTCGACAATGCCGGTGATGCCACAGAAGGGGGGTTAAAGGCTGGCTCGGGGAGAGGAGGTTCCCATTGGGTTCTAGAAGTGGGAATATGGATATAGTAATACTGCCCCGAGTTTGGATCCAAATGGGCCATCCACCCTTCAGGAAGCGGAGGAGGAGATGAAGGGCCAACTCCAGGTGGAGGGGTAAAGTGCGGCTGCTCCTGAGGAAATGATGGATGGGGGCTCTGAGAGTGCTCTTGGGGGTGGGGTTGAGGCGGTTGTTGCCGCTGCTGCTCTTGCTGCTGAGGCGGTTGCTGAGGCGGCTGCTGGGGTTGGGATTGGACCGGTGGCTGAGGCGCCTGTTGGAGTTGTTCCTGAGGGGGATCATTGTGGAATGCTGGGTGAGCTGTGTGGTTGTTGTGCGGAAGCTCTCGGGGAACGGCTGCGCCGACCACTACGGTGTGTTTCTCGTTCGGGTACCCTTGGGCAGTTCCATTGGAGGAGCCACTTCCGGCGTGGCTCAAGCTTGCGTATGACGGCGGTGGGCTCGCGCTCATATTCATGCGCTGGAAGTCCTGTTCCAGTGCTTGCTGAGCCTGCGTATTCACACTTACAGGGTTTTGGGGAGGATTGGGCCGTCCCCCCCCTCCGGTCTGTGCGGGGACTTCTTGTCCGCCGGTACCCTGCCAGACGGTCGGGGGCCCGTGAGGATAAGATCCCGGGGCCTCAGTCGGAGTCCAGGGTCTCGGGGGAGCTTCTACGGGAGCCTCCACTGGGGCTTGCTGGGGTTGTGCCGGAGGGATGACTGCCTGTGCCTGCGGCGGGGTGCGAGATTGGCCCGTGTTACTCCGTCCACGGGCTCCGCCGCGCCTCTGAGTAGCGACGTTGGCAGGGAAGGTTACCAGCGGCTGCTCAGCAGCAGCGGCGGAAGCGGGAGTTTCCGGTGGCGGGGGAGATCCCCTGCGCGCCGCCGTAGTTGATGTCGACGTCATTCTACTTGGGGGAGGCCAATACTGCTGGTGAAATTGAGGAAAGGGGTTCAGAATTGGATCGGGAGAGGGTGGGCCACCTCCACCTTCGGGATGAGGATGAGGGGTTGGAGATTCGGGACGAGAGTTTTGCCTTGGAAGACGTTGGGGGCGTCCTTCGCGTGGCTTGAAGGGCGGCGGGGTAGGGTAGGCATCAGCGTGCGCGACGGACACATGTCGGGTAGGTTGGGGGGCACCCGCGGACGCTGCCGACTGGGGGGTTGAGGCTCGCTCCGGGAGTGGAGCTGTAAAAGAATCTTGACGGCTATGGTTATTGCGCTCGCGGTCAGGGTAAGGAAGATCGCCGTGCTGGAACTGCTGCTGCTGCTGTCCGATTATTCTCTCGGCGGCCGGCCTATCGGGATAAGGCAGATTCGGTGAGCCGGATGCCGATCCTACGGCGTTGGGGAATGTCGGGCGCCGCTGAGCGGGTTGCGCGAGAAAGGAGTTTTGTGGGGGCGGGGGAGCCATGCCCTGACTAATGTCGGACGGCGAGCCAACTCTCTTCTGGATACGAAGGGGTTGCACCGGCACCTCCGTCGATGACGAGGGGGAGTTCAGGAACAGCTCATCCCCAGTGTTCCCCCTTCGGGGACGCCCACTGGCCATCGGGGCGATATGGAGGGGAAAGGATACCGGAAAATGATGGGGGATAGAGCACGGGGAGGGGGAGGAATGACGGATAAGAGTTTGTGCGAGGGAAACACGGGTGCGACGCTGGAGGAGGAGAGGAGAGATGCGGGATAGGGGAATACTTTATTGGGAGGGGAGGCACAGATATGGAGGAGGTGGAGGAGGGGGTGGTTGGATAAGTGGCATATAGGAGATGGTCTGGGATTTATTATTTTCCTCCCCCTCCACTCGAAGAGGGGGGGTAACCTACGAGGACAGAGGGGTGCCGTATCCCTCCTTTCGGGGGCCCACGAGACACTTGGGATAACGCGGGAGAAATGAGGGCGGTAAGAAGGACAGGAGATGACGACAGCGTCGAGTTCGGGGTGAGTTATACCGCGCCGCCATAGGTTATGGTGGGTCCCTTTGAGTGGGATTCGTTGTACCGTATCATATCTTTCGGTACTCGAGCAGCTCGGCATCTTCCAATCCACTCCAACCACGGTATCCGAGTTCTTACTCATTTGCACTCGAGCCCAGGGAATTGAGTGATAGTGCGCGGGTAGGATTTGCCTTATCTGCCCGGACCACAAGCACGCGCTCCCCTCCTCCTGTGGTCCAGGCTGATGATGGAGGATTGGTGGTGGCCAACGCTGACAGGAACCGAAAGGCTCCCCCTCCCCCCCAACAGATCATCGATACGGTACTCGAGTGACACCGTGCCCCTCGGCGACAGGAGACGGACCGCACAGGCAAGCGCATTCCCAGACCCACCACACCTGGCAGCTGGGCAAGTTACCGGCACAGGTTATGGCCACACCCTTCCGAGCTCGCCAAGATGCTATCATTGGTACCTGACCAAGATTCGGGACACCGCTGCCGCCATCATGCCCCCGCCAAACCAGCTACCAGCGACCAGCGTCTCTCTAGCCGCCCGCTGCCCTCACTACCGTATTGGCCGGAGTTGCTATTGTTATGCTGCCTCCTGGTGATTCTTGGCGCAAAGTGTGCTGATTTGCCATAGACTACCAGCACAGCCAGCCGGGTGACGCACTCGGGGCTTCTCTGTAAATAACTGCTGGCAGGATGGAACGTGGTTCGAGTGCTCGCAGTATTGCCCTTGCAGGCGATTGACCGTATGGGGTATGCCTGCTCCTGGTACGGTGCCCATTGTGCTGTACGGGCACTCGACCCTACTCGCAGCACGCAATACCCGTGCCGCACAAGTACTAGTACTGCGCCCTATGAAGCTTGGAACTGGAGTATTGGCTCAACGATGAAGACTTTCTTGCCCGTTCTCGCCATATCTCCTAAGCTCCGGAATGCCGGTCACTTGCTCTACCGGTACCCGTACTACCGGTAGTAGATTACTGTCCCTTCGCTCTCTCCCGAATTTCACCACCCCGCCAAGGTGCTGTATGATTTCGGTCATTCAACCGTGGCCCGGCCAACGGAATTCATGATTCTCGAGTGCCGTACCTTTCACACCATCGTTGTATCATAACGGGGGGTCCGAAGAACAAACCTGATCTAAGGGCAATCCGTGGTGCCCCAATACTTACTCGAGTATGGGTGGACAGGGTACGGTGCCCTAACTGTACGTGTACTGTACCTGCCGCAATCGGCCGGTGTGGTGGTTTGCCCATGATAGTTTCCCGTTCAGCGCCAGAGATGCACAGGGCGCTCATCTCGAGAGGGTAGGACCCCTGGGTCCTGTATCACCGGTATCATACCGTAGTTCCTGTATCAGCCACAACTTGTTCTGAGGTATGACAACAGCAATCCCCGGTTTGGCCAGATTACCAATAATTCCTCCATCGCTAGAATATTTTCTTCGCCTTCCTGCGATAAGCGAACGCGAGGGAGGGAGTCTGGGCTGTGGCCGATGCTCCCCTTACAGTGACACAGTGAGGGAGGCCGGCGCCAAAAAGGAGATGGGGGTGCGCGGTGGGGGCTTTCCACTGAGAACTGCCATGTTCGCCACCTTCCGCTCACCGATCCGGTTAAGCAATCCAGACCAAACCTTCATCTATTATATTATATGTGAAACGATTCCCCCGATTTTACTTTTCAACCCTTTGGGGGCTCCATATCCGGACCGGCCGGGGAATATGGTCAAGAGAGCTATCGTCAGTGCACTGGTCCTGGTGCATTTTCAGACGATTTTTTGTATGGGAAAGTGGCCTGGCTTGGCGCTTTTTTAAACTTCAGCCGTACGAGCTGCGAGTATTGTACGAGTACAGTGTGGCATGCCAAAGTGTAGCCGACAATTCTTTAGTAATCCGTGCACACCCGGGGAGGTGCCGGGGAGAATTTTGGATCACGCTATCGATCCTTAACCCCCTTCACGCCTTCAGAAAGCATGAGTATTGAGCGGAAATTGTCCGGCGTGAGGTAGCATGGTTTGGGTTTTTGCATGCTACTGTACGAGTGTATTCTGCTCACCACTTTTGGCACCAACCTCGTGCCTGGTGTCCCTAGCTACCGGTAGCACGGTGAAACGCTTCAAGCACGGGATAGATTTTTCCCACTCCTAGCCCTCTGCTGCAAAGATGGGAAATGGGTATGGTGGAACGGAAAGGAGAATAGAGCCTTACGCTTCACATCAGGAGAAAGTTCACTGTGCGGTGGATATCCCTTGGTCTGTAATTGTCACATATTACTGTAGTTTCCTAATAGTAGAAGATCGCGATTCGGTGTTGGGGATAGACTAGTTCAAAGCGTGGCAATCATACAGCTACTGTACAGTATGATACTTCGGTGAAGAACCCGGGTTAACCCTAGACCATTAGCTACGCTAAAAGTCTGCGCAATCTGCACACAGAATAAGGGATCCGCGGAGTACCGACGATCGACCAACTATCGTGGGCGTGGCCGGGAAGGATGAAAAGCCTTCCTGCCAAAAACTTCCTGGGGGCACATTGTGCTTCTCGAAATGGGCTAAGGGCTTTACGGTATAGGGGGAGGGTTTCACGGAACGGTGTAACGTGATTGGTTGGGTACTCGAGTACAGCGATGAGTGGGACTTTTTTTTACTAGTATCATACGGTAGGTTCCACAGAGTGCCAATGCCTTGGGAAATGTCGCACAGCTTGGAAAGCTTGACCAGTCCCTCCCTCCAACCCCCGTTCCATACTTGTACTCGAGCGCTAGAAATAGGGCAGAAAAAAACAAAACAGGAGCAATTCCCCTCCTCCTCCCGTGCGTCCTTCCCTCTCAGCCTCAGTAGAGTTTTCGCTGGGGAGGTTGTGTTACGGAGTGATTCCCCCCCCTTTATTCCACTAGCCGGTCTCCGTGTGTTTGTTCGTACTTAATCCTTCTTCTCCCTTTCCGCCTTTACCTTTCTGTGGATATCTGCAGCTTCCGGGTCTTCACGATGTTAACCCCTCAGCACCGACAACCTATGCCTATGCAGCCAATGCAGCCCATTCAGCCCATTCAGCCCATGCAACCTATGCAACCTATGCAGCCCATGCAACCCATGCAACCCATGCCATACCAACCCCCCCCGGTGAAGCCAGGCAAGGGAAAGAAGCAGCAGCAGCAGCAATTTCCAAAGTATAAGGACGAGAAGAAGACCGGCACTGCGAAAAGGTTTCTGGGGGATACACTTGCAGGAAGGTTTGTTCGGTCTGCGGTCCAGACGGCCTCTAGCACTTGGAAATTGCCCGAGTCTCTATCTCCATGGGGCGACAATAACAGGTTTGTTTGCCACACCTCCGAGTGGTGGGTGAAGCCAACTAGTTCGTCCTTCCTTTAGTTTGACGCTGCCGAACGTGAGATATCGTGATGCTGTACTGTTCACAACGTGAGTTAGAGGGCCCCAAAGTCGGCATTGGTGATGTTTGCTGATTATATTCGACACAGCTTCGCGTTTGTCGGGGGGCCCCTACTCGAGGCTGGGGGGGACGCTCTTGGGGGAGCAATTGGCTGTGATACCTTCGCTGCGGAAATCATAAACCCGGTTGTAGATTTCTTCGTTTACAATACTGTAGCAAAGTACGCCCTATTTCAAATCATCGAGCAAGCAATCGACAAAGGTCGCACAATCTTTTCCCGTTTCCCGACATCCCTAAAGTGCTAATATATGTAGCAGGTCTGCTGGAGCACATCCTCCCCGAAGAAGAAAAGATGCTTCGTACAACCAGCATGCGGACGCTCCAATGCGTCGTGAAGCATAAGCTGATGGACGTTGATGCCGACCTTCGCCTGGCCAGGGTGACACCCTCTCGAAACCCCTTATCCTGCGAAAAGGGCTGGTTCTGTCCCTACCTCTTCGCCAGTTCCCGCACTCCTATAATCCCACGCTCGCAGGACTTCGCCATCGCATCATGCTTTGGCCCATTCTTAGCGGGCGACTACCGGCTGGCTCACAAACTCCTTTCCGAGTCTGCGGCAGTGCTCTCCCTCTGTAACCCCGATCCCACTGTCAACATCGGCGTCAACCGTGTACTCGTAACCTTCATCGGGATCACGCCATACAGGGGCGGTATGTGGTCTTCTTCCCGAAGACCTGGCGCCGCGCTTATGAATTTTCACCTGCTGAACGGGTGCCCTTCTATGGTTATACCCGTGAATAATATGGCGCCGATTGTAGCGTGGAGCCCAACTACGCTGGCCAGTATCAAAGATCCGGGGTTCAATCCGGAGTGGTTACATGGACAGATATGCGAGTTTTTGGATACAATTATCAGTGCTAAAGACTGCACGCCGGGAATTAGGGCCAATTATGAGCCGGCATTGGGCAGGTCAGTGAGTATGGTCGTCAACGGGGCATTGGGCTTGAGGAATGTGCAACCGGGGATTCTGAAGGGACTGGACCCCGAGAGAGCAGGGTGAGCAGACATCCCTCATTTACTCTGTGAGTTATTGTTAACCTTCAGAGACAGAATTGCATTTTTTAGGTATTAGGTTTTCGATTTCCTTGCTATTGTTTTTTTCTTTCTTTTTTCTTTCTTTTTTTTCCCCCTCTTTGTTAAGATCGCGGAGTTTGGGTAATAAATTGCATGGTGTATGGTTTACGCTCTAGTTTCCTTAGCAAGGGAGACATCTACATTCGCCTATTGAAGGGAAACTGTCTGTCTCGTCTGGGCTGGATGTTGTAAAACCCAGAATGAATATCGACAAGTAATAGAGGAATAATGGATAGATGAAAGATTGCTTGTTCTTGGTAATACCTGTGACACACCACCTCTATATAATACAGTAACTCCACAGTCTGGTTGTCCGTATTCAGGACACCACCAACCTCCAAACACCAGCCCCTTACTAGTCCCCTGACTTAAGGGTCAAGTATCCCCCAGCTTCACGCTAAGTGCCCCCTAGCTTAACACTAGTTTCATATCCACATATTCCGACACATATTCCAACACTGGAGGAATTGTTCTGCCGAGTGACAACCTATGAATACATATTTTAGGTTGAAATTACTAGAGTTGGAGGCGTCTGAACTCGATAGCTCGGCCGGGAACCATTCCGGGGACACGGAAGCGCACATATCCCCAACTATTATACCACACTCAGCGAGACCCTTTGGATCGGCCTCATTAGTTGATGCCGTTGCGGTATGGCCCGAGTACCCCCGCTCTGCCTCCGGGTGCTACCGCCCCTACCTAAACCACAGCCGCATCATACCCCAGGTATCTGTGGCTACGGTATACTACAGCATAACAAAGAACTTGCCTACTGCAGAAATTCCAGAGGAAACACCGTCACCTGTGCAGCTGCCTACGTCATCCATTAAACGCTACCTGGTATGAATACCCCGAGCGCTACCGGACGGCACCCATCACTCCAATACCGGTATGATACTGTATCTAGTTAGACGTACCGATCTCCTCAAAAATTCTCATTATCAAGACCCTCTATCATATGATGTCGTTTGAAGGGAGGGAGGGGCCCCCAAGCAGCTTTTTTCAACTCGTTTCATCCACTCTTACATTGAAGCCCTTTTCCACCATTTTTCTACGGCACACGTGGGACTTTCTCTTGCCGTGCGCGTTACGTAATCTTCGTGGGCGTTTATTTTATTTGTTCTGCTTTTCCGGTGTTCCCATGCGTCCGGTCCGTCCATCCTTGGCTTCGGACGAGACGGACGCCGGTTCCTGGAACTCTGCCCTGCTGTCCATGCCCACCCTGCCCGGGGCGCCTGGGACTACAAGCCCGCCGGAGCACTGTAGGGCGCCCAGGGCGGTTGGAAACACTGCGCTTTTCCTGTCCCGTCCGGGGTGTGTAGGGTGTTGGTATGGAAAGGTGGAGAGGGGGGGAGGGAGGACACCATACTGTACTGCTATTACCTACCTATAATTCTTATAAAATTGATACTAAAACAGAGTAAGATGTAGGTACATAATTTTTCTGACAGAAAGGGTGAAGATCATCTTAGCTTTAGTGGGAACAGAGACTACTACTAGTTAGTAATTTAAACCTTATTATTCTACAAAAAACTACTTTAAACCATTCTTATACTTGTTTTCTATCCAGACTCTGATGTCTTATTGATACGATTAATGTGATACTCCTTACTAATTTTTCTACTTATTCACAGTCAATTCTCAACGCTAGGTGTAGAAAACAATAAATGGTCTGCTCAGAGAATATACTAACTTAGTAAAGTTAATTATTATAAGTTTAGTTCGGGTACTTATAGTGAAATGGCTAGACAAAAGTCTTGGTAATTACGTGATATTACTTATTGTGTAATTTCTTAACATTTAAATTACCATTGCAGTTTGATGATCACAGTTGTGCACCATTATTAATCTGCCCTTCATAGCAGGTCGCTCGATGTCTTGGCTCGATTGTGTTTACCTCCTTGCTAATCAGACAAACACCCGATCACCGATGGTGGATTTAGCGAGTATACGGTATGGTAGTAAAATTGAGTGCGTAAACGAAACACTGAAGCTGGGTGCTCTTTACGCGTCGGGTACACCAATTAACGCGTAAAGTGCCAAGATCTGATCCAAAAGAGGACCCCAGCGCGCAGCTTTTTCTTTTTCTTTCGCGTTCTCAGGTTGTTGCTGGGGCACCATCCCGCCAGCCACGCCTCGAACGCGACGCGCTACTAATAGAACTTTCAACCTTCCCATTAGTGACTCCGTCTTTCATCCCCTTGCACTCTCACCGCATTTATTCACCGCATTCCCCTCCTTTCGAAGGCCAATATATATTTTCACTCATATACTCACTTATTCACTCATTAATTCAGTCATTCTTTTCCCTCGATTCTGTTCGATCCTTCGCATCGTCAACATCTCATAATGGCAATTGTTCTTGGTAAAAGATCCAGGGCCACTTCTTTTGCTGGTATGTAATTCTCCCGTGTTATACTCTAACCGTCTTATTAAATCTGGGTTTCGTAGTTGTGGTTTCCTCGCCTCGCGCCAGTTGCGATAGGGACACTCCACCACGTACCAAAGCAAAAAATGACATTCTTCTAAACGACATTCAACCAATGTTGGATGCTATTCTAGATGAGGAAGCAACAACTGTAAAAAGACCCAAAAGGCAGCGACGTAATTCGGTCCAGAAATCACAACCTACAACAAGCCGTCAACCGCTTTCTCCTCAGAAGTTAAATACCCTCTTTAAGCCCCCTAACGGGTTAGGTAATGATCCCCTGATCTCATCGTTTGGCAGTGAGTGTACAGAGCGTTATGCTTACTCTCCTATAGTTGAGCAGCCGAAGCAACTTGAATGTCCAAAAACACCTCGGCATCGGGACTCGGTGAAGAAACCAGTTACCACCCCCAGGCACCGTGTCAGTGCGGTCGGGAAGCCTATCACCCCCAGACATGGGAAATTGTTTTCCCCAACCTCCGTAGCGGCAACACCGACCAGCGTTCTGACTACTGCGAAGGCACTATTCTCCCGTAGCTCTGCCCCAGGGCGGTTGATAGGTCGTGACGACGAGAAGAAACAGCTTACAGAATTTCTTGGGCCACGAATCAGTTCCCGCTCGGGGGGCTGCCTTTATGTTAGCGGTCCTCCGGGTTGTGGAAAATCGGCATTGCTTTCTGAGGTCATGGCGGACTTGGGAGCTGATCAGTCAGAAACAGTTAAGACGGCTTATGTCAACTGCATGGCTGTCAAGGATCCCAAGGGAATATACTCCAAGTTGCTCGAGGAATTCTTTGCGGGGGAGACATTAAGCTCTCCCACGGGGATGGAGGATCTAGAATGCCTATTTATCAGCAAGAAAACTAGGAAGACTGTTGGCAATGTTTACGTGGTTGTGCTCGATGAGATTGACCATCTCTTGACCAAGGACCAGGAAGTCCTCTACAGCATCTTCGAATGGTCACTTAGGCGGGATTCACGGTTGATTCTTCTTGGAATAGCCAACGCGCTTGATCTTACGGACCGCTTCCTTCCCCGCCTGAAAGCGAGGAATCTCACACCTCAGCTACTTCCGTTCCTCCCATACTCTGCACCTCAAATTGCAGCCGTGATTACTTCTCGTCTCCGCTCTTTACTTCCAGACGGAAATGAAACTCCGGGAGACTTCGTTCCATTCATGCATCCCGCTGCTATTCAACTAGCAGCTCGCAAAGTTGCTGGTGCGACAGGGGACCTCCGGAAGGTTTTTGACATCTGTCGCCGGGCTGTTGAACTGGTCGAATCGGAAACCCGCCAAAAGGAACTGAAGATAAAGCAACAGCAGCAGCAAGAAGAGGGGTCGGAATCACTGAGCGAGATGATGAAATCTCCAGTTCGTCAGCCGCTGACGGAGAATATGAACTTGAGCTCTCCGCGAGTTCTCATCAGTACCCTCTCTTCCTTAACCATTGAGACAGCGCCGCGGGCTACAATCGCTCATGTTGCACGTGTCTCTTCTTCATCATTCGGTGGATCTTCCATCACTCGTGTTAAGATGCTTAACCTGCAACAAAAGGCCGTCCTCTGTTGTCTTGCTACGACCGAAAAGTCCAACGGTAGTGTTACAATCAGAAAGTTATTCGACGTCTATACGGCTTTATGCAAGAAAGAACGACTAATTCACCCACTATCCTCGACCGAATTCCGTGATGTTGTTGCCTCACTTGAGGTCGCCGGCGTTGTCAACATGATGGCTGGAAGTGTGGGCACACCGAGCAAGAGGGGAAGAGCTGGTGGTATGGAGGAGAAGAGAATCTCAGCCTGTGTCAGGGAAATGGATTTATTGACTGCTGTTGCGGACGTTGGCCCCATCTTGACAAAGTTGTTCTCTGACAACAGGTAGTTAGAGTTTCTCGAATTTATTTTCTTCACTTGGTCTAATTGTTCTCCGGATCATTCCTGTATTCTGTTGTAAGTGTTTTTTTCTTCTTTTTCCTCCTTTTTCTCTCAAAAATGTGGGCAATGAAAGGTAATTACTATGGCGTGTTGAGTGAGTGAGTGATGGTTGTGGTTCCAACGGCAAGTCATGATGGGCTTGCATGTGCTGTTTCTTGAGTTAAGGCACACGGGTATTGTACTTAATTATGAGCTTGGAGTTTTGTATTTAGAGTAACCGGAGATCCTCCAGTGGATATCTTGTCCTTCAATTGTTAAATACACTTGATATTGCGTCTCGCCTACCGTACTCGGGCTGTAGAATCGTAACATACCGGTAACTCATAGCGGTCACTGTCTGAAGCGGCAAGTTGCAACGAGAAGGCCCACCGGTACTGTACTGGATTTAAAGTCACGTGATAGTTATGTTTGCCGCTAGCACTTGTGTGACTTAAGACTTGAGGTGCAAAAATTAGGGTTTAGCCCAATGCTAACCATGGGTTGCGACCGACGGTCACAATTGAGTCTCCCCCCACACACACGGCGCCCAGCCTTTGCACCGTGAATACACACGAATTTTTAACACCCGTTAGGACAACACCCATCGACGACATCCAGCGACAACATCGACAACATCAGCCCCGCGAACTCATCGAAGAACCATCATCAGCGCTGCCCGCCATGTCTGACTCTCAAGTTACCTTGAGAACTCGCAAGTTTATCCGCAATGCCCTTCTCGGAAGGAAGCAGATGGTTGTGTATGTTTTGCTCCGCCCGCCTGCTCTGACTAAGGAATTCGGGGTATCGGGAATGATATTTAAATAACTGACATTCTTTTGGGGGCTTCTTTCAGTGATGTTCTCCATCCCAACAGGCCCAGTAATTACCCCCCATCCTTACGCCTGATCTAACGTTTTTCGCGGATTGGATTCTGTTACGAGCGGTTGCTATAGGTGAAGGAGACTAATAGATTGGTAGATGTCTCCAAGGAGGATCTCAGGACCAAGCTTTCTGTTATGTACAAGGCCGACAAGAACCAGGTTTCTGTTTTCGGGTTCCGCACACAATATGGTGGCGGCAGGTCCACTGGGTTCGCGCTGATCTACGACTCTTATGAGGCTCTTAAAAAATTCGAACCCCACTACCGTCTCGTTAGATTCGGAGAGGCAACCAAGATCGAGAAGGCGTCCCGTCAACAGCGTATGTCGGGCCTGTGTCATTTATTCCCCCCCTCTATACGGATACTATCGATATGGGCATGTGCTGATGGTGGCGTAGGCAAACAACGCAAGAACAGGGCCAAGGAGTCGCGAGGTACTGCCAAGGCCAAGATGAGCAAGGACAAGAAGAAATAAACTTCTTGATTTCCGATTTAAAAAAAAAACACAAAATTGGCCTTCACTATCCACAAGACTCGAAGATGGGCTGGGGATCGGTTGCTGGTGGATGGCTGGAAAGTGGAGGGTTGGGTGTCGTTGGAGAGATTCCAGTTCTGTTTTTTTTGTTATTCTGCTGTCTCCTACTGTGGGATAACCGAGAAAAAATGGAGCAGGAAGCGGTGTGTTTACATTTCTTTTCTGTCGTGGGCCCTTAGGCTCGGGATCCCATATCTTCAACCATGGCGCAATTCTAGTTATTTTTTCTTACTTTCTGGTTTAAGTACTGGTTCCGGTTTCTTTTGGCATTGTAGAGATATTTGGATTGTGAACTGGCAAGCACAAAAAAAAGTAAAAATTTTATGGGGGGTGTTTAGCTACTCGGGAACCTATGAAACTCACATATGATCATTCCAGGCGTTAGTGCCTCGTTTCGTGAGTTTATTGGCATCACACAAGGGTGCCCTTCAATCAGTAGCTCCAAACATGGTTTCCTTTGTCGTGACCTTTGTGTAGCATTTTCTCATTGGTCTCATAGTGATTTACTGTCTCCAAGCCATACTGAGATGTCGCTAGCGTGCCCTAACATTCCCTAATGTTAGATAGAATCTTGTAGCGAAATTCTCGTGATGATTTAACCACCAGGAGATATGTTCACGTGTGAAGGTGCACTTGTACGAGAGCCTAATACCGTACACTCGCACTCCTTCCCGTGCAAAGTACAATTTCCAAGTGAATAGCGGTCAATGTTATAGGACCTTATGAGGGCTAGCGGAGCAAAATCCCACACAAGTACGGTACTCGTGCCAAGGTTGCAGCTAGGACGCTGCAACCTCCGAAAATTTTAATTTTCGGGGGCACTCTAAAGAGTGCCCGTCAGCTCAACATGACTTGACAGCTCAACACGACATGTGGCTCAACACCACCTTTTGTGGCTCAACAGAACTTTTTGTGGCTCAATATTGTGGCTCAATATAATAGTATGGATCAATATTGCTTTATTGCTTATTGTAACTTCATAGCTTAATCAAAATATTACTTGAGAACTTTATTTCATTTTAAAGGTTAATGTAATATTGTAGATCACTGTAACTTAGTAATTAATTGTAACTTCATATTCTAGTAAAGCCTTGGACCTCAGTGAAGCTTTACTATTAAACCTAGAGGTAACTTTGACAAAAAGAGAGGGAAAATACAAGCATATAAAAATAAAGTCTTCAAGCTTATATATAGTTAAGGGTATTAAGAGACAAGTACAACCGGGAAAAATAAATGTAATCTAGATAAAATTCTGTTGAGCCACAACATTGAGCCACAAAAAGTTGGGTTAAGCCACAAAAAGGTTCTGTTGAGCCACAAAAGGTTGTGTTGAGCCACATGTCATGTTGAGCTGTCAAGTCATGTTGAGCTGACGGGCACTCTTTAGAGTGCCCCCGAAAATTAAAATTTTCGGGGGTTGCAGCGTCCTAGCTGCAACCTTGGCACGAGTATCGGGGTTTTTTGCGCTCTATCTGAGAGCGAGATTCCCGACGAATCGGATGCCCTCTTATCCAAATAATTATTTCAGCAGTAATAACAAGCTCTCCATCTCAAGCCCCCCCCCCCCCCCCCCAAACACTACCGCTGGCGCTTGCATTTATGTCGGGCAGTATACCCCGTGGCATACTTTTATAATATCCGGGGTGTCCCTTGTACTACTTCATCCTCCTTGCACAATGTTTATCACTCGGTACAGTGCTCGATTTAAAAACCGGATAAAATGATCATTGGCCGTCGGGATTCATTTCCGCTCACTCTCGGATGATGGGTAAGTGTAGAGTTTTTGTGATGGCCCTTTCTTGACTGTCCTCTAAAGCTTGTGTTCCACCTCCGCTCGCCTCTCCGTGTACGGTACCTCAGGGTTAAGGAAGGAAGGAAGGAAGGAAGGCGGTTTTTGCCTCATACCTGCACCGTTCTCACCTTTTTTTTGGCATTCGGTTACAACTACTCGCATGCACCTTATGATACTCCATGAAACAGCTGATATTTGGCTTTGTATGTAATTAGCACTATTCATTGGGCGGTCGGAAACAGTAGTCAGGCACATAGCGTCTGTTTAAGTAACGCTATACCAAATATGGAAAGGATAAAGAGTGATGTAGCAATGTTTGTTCTTGCCTGTGAACAATTGAATAGGGGAAAAATCGATAAATTACAAGAATACCTACAATGTTGGGGGGCTGGGAATCCCTTTCAATCCACTATCGATTAATGAGTACTAAGAAAACGAAGTGTACCAAAAATCTAAGTATGAATACTGCTGAAACCACCACTGCCATCATCATCCCAACTCAAAGCAGTTCAGCAATTCTATATCATGCTTGGTCCTTGGTAGAATCAGTATATCAGTCAGTTATTACTACTCTAGGAAGAAATTGTAGCCACTTCACAGAAGATTTTTGAGTGGTTTTGAGATAACAGGGTAATAGGTTTACTTGTAGAGGGAATAAATCAGCATGTTATAGAGAAGGGAGCAGAAAAAGAGTGGAAGGATAGAAAACTATTTGACCATAAATGGAGAGGGGAGGTGGAGCATGAGATATGACTCTTTTTAGCCCTCTAAATTTATATGGAAGTAAAAAGAGACTGTAGACTTGATTCTAGAAGTTCAAGCCACTAAATACAATAATTCAATTTTGTTGTTAGTAATATTACCTTCTCATCAAATATAACTGTAGATAAAATGATGATTCAGTTCAGCGAATAAAGCTACCATATATACTGTATGTCTAGTAAGCCAATCAGTAAAGGCTATAAGGAATTTGCACTATGTGACTCTAGCTATAGATATAGCTCGATATTTGCTTCTTGATCAGACCCAATTACTGGACTTATTTATTAAGAAGACCTTATAGTAACAGAATCCACACCTCAAACAGATAGAAATATTTATCATTCCGCTCTTACTTACCTACCACCTACACATATTCACACCCCCATTTCCCATTTCTCACTATATCCAAAACCTAGGTTATTAATTTTCTAATTTTCATCCTGAGGCTTACTACTAGATACTCGGTGTTTCTCTAATAATTCCCAAGCGAGCAGTGTTGAGCAGCATGATATGTGGTGGCAGTGGAAGGCTGAACCGTGGCGGGAAACGAAGACGAGGCCTTTGGTGGAGGGAGGGAGGGGATGAGAGTTGGACTAGAGTTGTATTGGTGTGTCCTGGTTCTAGCTAAGAATTACATGCTTATAATATTATAGACATCCCTTCATATCTCTAGTTCCGTAATCCATATTCCATCCAACCACGTTCAAACATATACCCTAACCATATACCTCATCCTATGTTGCAGATCATACCAGTCTAACAATTACTTTTTGCTCAAGACTAAACTTATTCTCATGCGACATCAGCTTTCCAGTCGTAGTAGACCCATAAGAGCGTATACAATCCACAACAAGCAGTCCCCGAGCAGGATCTAGCAAGACCGACGGCCATTCCGTCATGTAACGCTGCACATACAGGGTTTTAATCGGGTACACTAGGAGTACAGTACAGTACAAAGCTTGTATAGATCCTCAGCAACATAAACACCAGTTCCCCAGCCAAGAATATAAATTCATCATCCCGATCCACGACACGTAGTCGAGCGTAAGAAAGTCCAAGCTTGTATCTCTCCAACGCGATGCTCTGAGCGCAGACACCAATACGAAAAAGAGTGTTCGAAATCTCACAGGCTGCACTATGCAATACTATCCAGCGTTACACAGTACAGTATAGCACTGTGCAATCCAAGCAAAGATGATTCCCCCCCTCCCTTCCCCAACCCGCGGATGGAAGAAGTCTTACATACGAAGTGCACATCCCTATGACCCCTAACTATTACATCAATCATACCTCCAATATACCGTGACCCCCGAACAACCACCGCGACGAAGGGTTCCCGTTCATACCGCGGTGGGCGGGTGGGAAAACCCGTTACTGTGTTGGGAGGGAACGAGGTAAGGAAGAAAGGAAGGAATGAGGTTCCCGCTCGAGTGTTCATTATACTACGCTGTGCTTGGGTTATCATACAAAACTGGGGGTACTATATGATAGCTATACAGTATGTACCTTCGGTTCGATTCAATGGCTTGTAGGGAGGGGGGTGGCTTGTAAATTATGGTGCGGTAAGGAAGGAGACGGCTCGAGCATGATGACTGTTTCTGAGGCTAAGGATGGTATGATATATATAATAATATATCTGTGGTGGTGTTTAAGGCGCGATATTAAACTTGTAGACTAGTGCGTGTTCCGAGTGACTTGGATCGTATCACATCATTCTTCCGGGCTAACGAGTGATAATTTGTTGGATAGAGGATTCTACCATCATAGGAGTACGTGGGAGGTTATTCAATTCAATTTGAGGATAATTGCCGCGCCCTCCCATTCACATACCAAAAGGTGAAACCAAAAAAAGGTGCCCCAGCTGGCTACAATATGGTATTCGGTTCGCAAAAGAAAGACATTCAACAACCAACTTCATACTATCATAGTCCAACTTCAGCGTTCCTACAGTTCGGAGGATAAATGTTTAGCGCACAAGATCTCTAATCTCACGAAACTTTCTCCGGAATCCGCATCGTGAGGGTCCCTGCTCGGGATCGTGAGCGGAAACAGCGATGCAGCTGGTAAAGGTACTCCAAATTATTCTGGTTTGAAGAGGGTATATGGGGGCACATGCTCGCCCACATCTGCTACCAGAAGTGGGATAGACTTTGGCCTGGCGGAAGGCTCTTGATTGGTCGGTATTTGATCTCAGCTGTCGGGTCCGTGTTTGTCGACTCCGTTAACCCAAGTGTGTTCATTAGGTATAGCCAGCCGAAATAACCCCCGGAGAAAAAAAAAAGTCCACCGAGCCATCACCCAGACCAACTGCTTTCCTGCGTCTCATACCCCTCCGACAAACTCCGTTGGATGATCAGTCTAGTCCATTGGCGTAAAAGGCAGGGCCAGACGCCCCCCCGGGAAAGGATGAGTTCCACGATCTGTCGCTGCGCATCCCCGGCTGCCCAGGAGAGGGGAGTCTTGCCGCCGATGTCTCCCAAACTGGGGTCGACGGTGTCTAGGGAGAGTAGGAGCTTTACCGTCCTCCGGTGCCCCCTCTGTGCAGCCCAAGAGAGGGGAGTCCTACCTGAGATGTCCCCTGCGTTAGGGTCAACATCCTCCCGCGCGAGTAAGAGGCATACTATCCCCTCATGCCCATGCCCAGCGGCCTGTCTGAGAGCTTCCTGGGCGACCCCGGGGCTGAGACCCCCTCGGGTTAGTAAAAGCTCCACTACTCCTTGACGCCCATGCGCCGCAGCCAAGAAGAGAGG